TATATATATATATATATATATATATATATATATATATATATATATATATATTGTGTCTGGTTAATAATGAATAGAAATATGAAGTGTTCATATCAGCACCTCATTGATACTGGTCAGAGATCATCAGTATAAACACACATCCCGGGTTATTATGCGTGATTCTTAATATCATCTAGTCATAGCAACTGTCTTCACATGTTATTCCTTTGAGTCCTGGAGGATTAAATCAATCATACTCAAAGGGTTAACAATTGTCATCTAAAGGGTTAAACAATCATCCTCAACTGGGTTAAACCATCATCCTCAAAGGGTTAAACCATTGTCATCAAAAGGGTTACAACAATCATCCTCAAAAATTCTCATAGTACAAGTACTTTTATAAATATTGGCACACCTTTACCAAACTTTTGTAAGTGTCCGATGTTTGTGATGACAGCAGTAATAATTCAGTACTGTTACACCTAGATTGTGAATTTAAGTAGATTTCCACTTTGTCTAGTTACACATAGACTTTGCATAACTTGGCTTTACTAAGACTATACTGTATATTTATATAGCCTGACTTATTGAATGGGTGCTACTATAGTGTGGAGTCTACCGAGCTGGAGTTGGTCTACCAGGATAATTACACAGTAACTTCCACTAACCTGACCTAACGTAACTTAACCTGGCCTAACCTAACTTAATTTAACCCAACCTAGGTTAGGTTAATGGATGCTACAGTGTAAATATCCCGGTAGACCAACTCCAGCTCGGTAGACTACATGCTATAGAGTAAATAGCCCAGTAGACTGCATACTATAGAAGTACCTAGCAGACATGGGACTGATTATTAAACACAACCAAATAATCATAATTTCCTATGATGATTATGTAAACATCATATGATCATAATAAATTTTGTATGATTAAAAATCATGATCATAATCTAATCATGTGAAAAAATTAATAATTAGAAAATTAGAAAATCATATAATCAATGAGTATTACTTGAAAAATGTTCATTATTTATTTTTTTAATAAAACTAAACTCAAGCAGGTATTGCACGAGTATGAGAGAAGCCACATTTCGATGTACCAGAATTTGAATTACAGTAGGTTTCATTGAGAATGCAATTTTTTTATTTACATTCAAGTAAGGAATATGTTTGTACTCTACAGGGTATTATTATTGCATTTTCTAAAATGCAATAAGCATATCCTGTGCCTTTTATTCATTAGTTTGTAATACATGATTTGTTACGGGTACCTTGATTAATTTACATATACTGTACAGTAATCATATTCTTGCAGGTATTGCCGATAATAGAGTTTTCCATGCTGGCATTGACGTCAATGAAAAAGGCTTAGAGATATTCACTGGAACAGTGGAAATAATTGGTACAGAGGTAGTGCCAAGTGAAGACTCCAGATCATCATCTGCTGATAAGCCAGACATCAGAGTGTGTGGCCATCTTCAGGTTGTAGCAACGTAGCAGAAGTCTACACACCACACACTGCTACCCCCAAGAAGAAAGTAGTGCAAATTTTCAAGAGGAATGCTACAATAAATCCATTGAATTCCCAAAGGAAGAACATGAGATGATCATGTCTGGGCAGAGAACGGAACAGAAGGTTCAGGAGGCCAGACTGAAGCAGCTGGAAGGTAGGTTAGGTTAGGTGAGGTACTAAAGTTTGCTCAGTTTAGGGAGTTGGTGCTTTTATTGACAAGAGGACCGTCCCTCCATAGGAAAGGAATAATATGTGCGGCCGGTGTTAAAAGTGTGATGATGTATGGCAGTTAAAGAGGATCACCTAAGCATTTATGAGTGAGCTGAATGAGTAAAATGACACTGAGAGGCAGGAGGCCCTGCTCAGAGCTAAGAAGGTTGCTGGGCATTGAGAGTACGTATTGGACAAGTTCTGCGTAGAGGCTGGCTGAAATGATTTGGGCATGTGGAGAGAATAGATGACATCAATTGGGTCAAGAGGTGCACGAGCCAAAATGTGGAGGGAAGAAGTGCCAGGGGCACGCCAAGAATAACATGGGAAGAGGATGTAAAAAATGATATTTGAGTTAAAACACTGACAAGAGAAGCTGCAAAAGACTGTACATCATGGAGAGCTACAATCAGATAATCATGGCTAACCTATGCAAGCACGGGAATAGCCGTAAGATGTTACAGTGTCATTTTCTCACATGTTGATATTTTTAGGAACATATTTCTCAACTTTTAATGGTAACCAATAGAGAAATACAATTCAATTTATGGGAGTTTTCAGGAATATAACTCTATTGTAAATCAAGGAATACCTGTAAAGAAAACACCCCAAACATAAGAAACTGAATCACAGTCTCATACCCTTTATCTATTCTCTAATAATTCTTCCCTTACCCAAAAGCACTGCAGGGGTTTCAGAGGCTGCCACCTCAAACTGTGGTACAGAAGTCAATCGTAACTGATGCTTGGCACTGTTTATGTTTCTTGAAGAAGCAGGATATAATGCAACCCGCCTGGGGTCTTAAAAGGGTTCAAATTCCCTTGCTTCACATACAGTACTTGATGATTTTGAGCTAAAAATTTTCTATGATGACTTTCTTACAGGAAAATAATTATAAGTTGTAATATCATAAAAAATGTATTATACAATTCTTAAAACTTATTACATTAATTACAAAATTTAAATAACACAAGCAGGATGTTCTTATAGTGATGATATGGTTTGTACAGTGGGTGAATAGATTAGTTACAAAATTGCAAGCAAATTCAAATACTGTTACTCATACATTTACTGACATACATTGTCTCCCTTGTAATACCAATATTACAGTAGTTCTAACATTCATGTAAATGACAACTGCAATCACATTCACCTTCTATCAGCTATAATTACAAAAAGGCCAAACCAAAGGACAAAATATTGGACGTGAGAGTACAATGTACATACAGTACTGCTAAAACAAACTTGTATCCAATAAAAACTCTACACAAATACAAATAGTGTCATAAAAAGGATCTATTTTACACAAAAAATGTCAACAAGGTGATTACTCTAAAAAATACAATAGCTCCTTTTGGTAATAAAAATATGAAAACAAAGATTGCGTTGCTTAAAAACTAATTTTCCCATTCAGTACTGAAAGAGGTCCAAAATAATGACTTTTATGGAGGATAATAAAATATATAAAAGATTTTCTTATTTAAAATGACCCCATAATCTTATTTGGGGGAAATATGTGTAAAATGGCCACTAAAGGTTCTTTTTAATCTATTTATACAGAAAATGCTCGTCAGACTTTACCAGGGAGGTGGGATTTGGGGGAAAAATGTCTGATGTACATTTGGTATCCACATAAATACTGTCTATTAATGGATTTTGGTTGTGTGCAGAGCTCCTGACTACCATATCCATTCTAATTGTCATAATTTTTGCCAGTGTGTGCAGTCAAACCAAGAGATCAGGTAGAATTCCAAAATTGAACAATAATGAAAGACTACTGTATAGTATGGTTACCAATAAAAACCTAATACACACAAGGTGATGTAGCTATGTACAATGATTTTGTTTATGACCGATATTCCAAAGCAAGTGCAAGGTTAACTGCCCATGTTCCTAACTAATTAGCTATATGCAGGGCCAGATTCAGGAGTGGGTAAAGTGGGCAGCTGCCCAGGGGCCTCCACAATCTGGGGGCCTCCACATATTACAATATGTTGAAATAATGCTACGGATGTACTTGGTGCTCATGGTCACAAATTGTTCTGGAGAACGTTCTTTTAGTAAAATGAAGTTTATTAAAAACAGACCGTACTACAATGTGTCATGATAGGCTCAGCCACCTGGCTTTGATGACTATCGAATATGACATCCTCAGAGAGATCGACTTCGAAAAGTTGATAAAAAACTTTGCAGCGACCAGGTCACGTAAAGTGCCTGGTCTGTAAATAAAGGTAATGTTTATTTTCTATTTTGCAACTGATCAATGTTTGTGTACAATATATCCATTATCCATGGTCGATGGCAGTTATTTTTATTAAAATTCTTGTTTTTTCCAACATGTTCACACTTCTGTTATAATTTTATCAAATTCATTAAATTGTTTATTTGTTTTACTATTGGATGCAAAATGTCAATTTTATTTATAGTGGAGTTAATACTTCTTCTGAATCTATCTGACATTGGACTTAAAGAAGCCTATACAGCTAGACCCTGACTTACGACGGGGTTAGGGACCCAAATCCAGGTCGTAGGTCCGACATGGTCGTAAGTCCGACATGGTCGTAAGTCCGACATAGATAAAAAAAAAAAAAATCTACAATGAAATACAGTACAGTAAAAGTAATGAATAATGAGGAATGGATACAGTACAGTGAAAGTAATAAATAATAAGGAATGGATACAGTGTGACTGAGCACTTACCTTTAATGTAGTCAGCTGAATGCACATGGGGCCCCCATAATTTTCTAATTATACATGGAGACTACATTAACTGGAAACGTTTCGGTATAGAAAATGCGTGTCATTTGAAAAAAAAAAAAAAAAAAAAAATTTAATAAAAAATTGCGGCGGTCGTAAGTCCCGACAGTCGTAAGTCGTAGCAGTCGTAAGTCGGGGTCTATCTGTACATGCATTCTTGGACAGAACCATTATTTGAGTAGAGGTTTATCTGATTAATAATGCAAAGAATCATCTCTCTGTAATAACTAATACTGTAATATATTCTTTTCTGTGAAGTCTCTCGAAAATTTTTGACATGTGCAGTAGTAGCTATATCAGGGCTGGTCGACTTGAAACCACAAGAATGACTCCAGTCATGACTGGAGTGAGTGTGTGTGTGTGTGTGTGTGTGTGTGTGTGTGTTGGGAATTTGTACACTATCAATAAATATACAGTTAATTAAAAATTTCTCAATGTTCTAATTTCCTCAATATAACTGCATATGGCTTCAAAATTCTCCAAAGAAGTGTTCAAATTTCAAAATTTTCCCGGAGGGGGTGGCCTTACAGCGCCCCCCGGAACTCCCAGATGTTTAGGCTCGCTTCACTCGCCACCCCACCCTCTTGGGTAGTTATAATGAGGGGGACCTTCACAAAGAGGCTGGCCATGGGCCTCCACAGGTCTAAATCCGGCACTGGCTATATGCACATTATTTTAAAATGCTATGAATACCTCAGCCATTTTGCAAGCAATAAAATACTTCTTGATGTTGATGTTTTGACAAAATCGTTTTTACCAGTGGCTCACACACAATTAATGAAGCCTGGGTACCACACAACCACTATGATCTGGTTTACAGCCTAAGTAAAACTAATATAGTACCAGTATAATCACAACACACCCTGTAACATTAAACAAACCCATTCTCTATCACACCCCAATTTATCTTAGACATTTTGGTTGTGATCAAATTGTCAAAGCTACCCAAATCAAATATACTATCGGCATAAAAGGGGTAAAAACATACACCATACACACTGCCCCTTGCCCTTGCCAAATTTGGTAGTGTTCTGAGTTTCAGGAATAAATTTCTCCTGCTCAGAAAGATGTCCCATTCATTAAAGATCTGAAGTAATTCACAGCAAGGTGGTAAGGTGTTGTGAAGAGAGCCACAGAAAACTCAAGTAACCACCAACAGATGTGAATAACATTAACCATAAAAATTAGGCACCTCACACTTAGACCCAACACCAAACCTAACAAATTCTCCCTTAATTTAGGTACCCACAGTACCTTAAAAATTCAAACATAGAACTTGAAAACTGAGAACAGGGCATGACACCAAGACTCCACACTCTCTTTAACTATACTATATATCAAAGATGGAAGCTGAATATAATACAAACCAAGCTGCTACAAGGGGGGAAATGGAGCCACCAGAATAAAGATCTCTTTATACTGCCCCAGCTTCAAGCTTACTTGATGGATTCAGGTGAAATGAGGATGCAAATAAATCTGATGCCAGCTACTGTATTCCAAACCATCAACTCATTCTGAGTCACCAGCAGAATAAACAATAAACAGATTGGGAGTTAGCAATTATTTTAAGTAAATCCATTACAGTATTTGAAAGATTACTGATCCACCATCAATATAAATTGCATCACTCCATTATTTAACAATGATTGCTCCAGTAATGTACACAGTGATAGGAATCATGAAAGCTTTTACTCAAAAGACCACCACTGCCTATGAAATTTTATATAATGAAAGGGACTATAGGAACCTTGGTTTCTTATACTGTACAACAAATCCCTGCAGATGTGTTGTCCATAAAAAACAAGATGGACAGGACTAGGCCAAGCAGAGCGTATACACATGCTACCAGTCAAGAAAACCTCCACTGACTGCAATAAAAGTTGATGGGCCACTAAGTAAACAAAATAAAAATGATGTCTAAAAGACAAACTGTGGCCTCCAATCAATCATTATTGAGTAATGGTTGTCATGGAGGGATTGTGAGACTTTCAGATTGTCACCAGTCATATACCACATTGAGATTTACTGGCCAAACCCTACAAGCTTTGGGATGCATACAGTATTTGCATATTCATTGGTCACTCCAATTAGCATTATATCATAATATTAAAAAAAAAAAAAGAATCTTTAAATCCCTGTTCAAGTGGAGGTAGCAGCAATTCAGCCTATACAATGTTCCACAAGACAATCTCCCACATTGTCACTCACAACACCTTATGCTGCCTTGTTAGCTAAAAGAGCACAAACTACCAGTACCATTTTGAAATTAAGTTTCATGTACAGTAATATAAAATATCCTATTAATGAAATTTAAGAAATTAGTTAACTAGTATGGTGGAGAGTGATATATTAAAAAAAAAACATTAATCCGTTCCAACATACTGTGGCAAGAACCAATAACTCACAGGAGCTAGAGTTGCCAGGGGTGACAATATAATGCAAACCTAAACATGGAGAGCACTAACCTTGTTAACATATCATGAAATTCCATAATATCCTACCAGAGTTAGCTCATTACCGTAATGCAAGCAATAGCTGTTGATTTACTCTCTCTCTCTCACATACAAACACGCACTATATCAACACCCCTCACTTGGTGTCGTGTCCCCTCCCCCAGTTTTAAAACACAACTCCATTTTTCCTGATGATTAAGGTCCACCAGTGCTGGACTGTACTGCAAGAAATACTGAGACACATTACAGCAAGAGTGGGGCTTTACAGTATGAGAATGTTATGAAGTTGATACAGTGATACTGAAATTATTCTAAATTTATGCCACGCTGAACGAATATACGCAAGTAGCTTAGAATATCGATTCATTGAAATTCCGAGAAAATTCCAAAAAAATTTCATTGTCAGTATTAAGATGAAGTTACATTCTAAAATCTTACAAACTACCAATATTTGGTGTCTACAGTACTTATGGAGGTGAAATAACCGGCATACAATCACATTGTGGGACAGAAGAATCTCATGTGAAACATGTAAAATTACATACAGTATTAGAATTGTCAATTAATTATAATAATAAAAAATTGTCATCTTCTACTGTACTTGTCTTTTTATTAGTACTTCTCCTTCTCCTGATTTATCTAAGAGGCTGGTTATCCTGCAACAGACTGAGGCCATAACTCGTTTGTATTTTTATAAATAAAACTCTTAACCTACCCACAGTAGATTTCTTTGTCTCAAGTTATAAATATTGTTTTTGAGCCTTTGTTGTTAAATTACATATACAGTACACCCTACCTAAAACCCCAACTATGTGAAGACAGAAAGAGGGTTAACTTGCACTTGCTTTTGATAGTCAATGATTGGATTCACCCTCTAAAATAACTGAAATACTCCTTTTGCTGTACAAGGTGGTGTCTCTTACCTTTATTCCACAGATGACAATATTTTATGAAACACTATTATATATATATAATCCGATGAAATGTTCCATGTGTGTGTGTGTGTGAAAAACACCTTACAAAAGGAGTCAAAACTAAACATGAGCATCAGTTAAACTCCAATTATAACATAGTTAATACAGGATATAAACTGGCAATACTATACATTCTGATGTAAAAATAAAATAAGAACAATTAATTTTCTTTACAGACTGTATAGGCAACATTACATAACATCACATTCTGCTTACTTTTGGTTCTCATGCACCTATTCTCCTGTTGTTTCTTCAACAGGATGGAAATCCAATGGGGTTTCTAACAGCTCCAGTGGAGAATCTGCACACACCACTGTAAAAATCTAAGTTTTATTTTACAGCACATAACATTTACCTTGACCTATCATAATACTTGAAAAAAATCTTAGGCATTTACTGATAAATGTAGTGGGTGTTACCTACCCCAATATTAGGGGCAGCTGTCCTTTAAATTAAAATCTGGCCTAGAATCACTAAACTGTCTAATAAACAAAACCTCTATTCCTTACAAAAAAATTATGAAATAACTTCACCCACTCCTTCATTATGTCCTTCATCTCCATTGGAGGTGGATGTGGATGCCAACACCAGAGTTTTAATGTACACACTACAGTACAGCACTTCAAAGAAGCAAGTTAATTGTTAAGCACTGTGCTACCTGTTATATTCAGTCCCAAGTAATTACGACAGGTAGAAAATGGCCCATTGAGTATTTTCACAAGCTAATGGGCCACAAAGTTTTAACAACTATAAAATTTAATGTTACCAATTATAAATCACAAAAGCAGCAAAACTTAACCCTTTTATGAGCAAGTACTTGTACATATATTCACCTGATTCATTTCTCAAAAAATAAAGTGCATATATTGTATAAACGATTTACTGTACTTTTCGAAGCAATTCATTGGAGGATTTGAATGGTACTGTACAAGCAATACCTGTGCCATAGACACCTGGAGACAGTACCACTCCTTCGGTCCACACATATGGTCACACACTCCTTCACCCACCAGGAGGCTGTGTAGTCATCAGTAAACATTGAAACACTTTTATAGTGACAACAATAAGGATGATTCATCATCATCCTCCTCATCACTGTTTCAGGACAGTTTTTCACACTTACATAGATTAACCGTGTTACCTAGTGGCATGGTGTAGTGGTTGTCAGAAGGCAAATGTGAAGCAAGTTTTATGACTGGATGCTTTTCCAATCATCAACCTACTCATTGAACAGCCCGCATCTAGATTAAATTCTGAGTGTTGCACCAAAACTATGTTACCCATTCTGGTGAGCACAGTCAATACTGTACATACATTTGCACTCATGAAAGGGTTAATTACAATGATACTTTAAATGATATATCCAGTATATATATACATTTTTTTTAATTACCCTCTCATGGAGAGGTACATAATGCTTTTCTTGAAGAAAAGCATTACTTGCTGAACATACTGCCATAAGAAGATAAACATTGTGACCCTGAACCAATTTTTTACAAGACTGTTCCAATAATAGATCCTTATAAACAAAATATTTAGACATGATACAATGCTGGGGACACCATTCTTTTATTTATATATATATATATATATATATATATATATATATATATATATATATATATATATATGTGTGTGTGTAAGAAATGGAGATACCGGAGCCAATAAAATCAATTGTAATAAAGTAAAAAAAAAAAAAATTATCCAAATAATCCTAAATATTTTACATAAAAGTTTTGTTAAATAAATAAATTTAAAAAACTAAAAATCTAAACGATACGGGTGTGAACAGTCGGTGTGTCACAGCCAAGACAGTGGAATTTTCCACCCTGCACTGGAGAAAAGTTTTCCCCGAGTCAAGCCACACATCACACACAGAGCTGTATTTATTTACACAAACACCACTGTACACGTACAATATATTGTTAATACTGTAAACAAAATAATGTAACTACTACTATACTGTACTTACCAGTAGGTGATGTCATCTTGAGTTTAGAGTAGGTAGTCACTGTTCATTCTGCTGCATTTAATACATAACTGTAATCATGTCTTAACACCTGCGATGGAGGTGGGGTGGGGGACTAGTGGGTCACATTACTGACCTGACCTGATGCAATGTCAGGTCACCCATTGTCGGGGTGGGGGATTAGTGAGTCTCATGACCTGAAGATGTCTTGAATAAAGACAAAAGCCAAAGTGCTCCAGTGTTTCCCACTTACTGAATGTACAGTACAGTATACGTAACTGAGAATTTTTTACGTTCTTAACACTGTTTAAACACTGTACAGTATTCTTGGCCGATTGTGTCCTGGTACAGTAATGTACAGTTCTCCACAACACAAATTGTAAACAAAAACAATAGCTAGCGAGGATACAACCTTCTACAATGGCAATAGAATATGAACTAAATGATCCAGGCAGCTAAGCCACCCACTCGCCTGGCACATAGGGAAGTTCTGGAACATTTATTCCCAGGCCCAGAACGGAAAGGTTTGAAGAGATTTCCTCAGAACCTTCTCAGAAATGGTTTTCGGAAAACGCGGCCGATTTTCATCCTCGGAAACTCCTTCGCAGACCAGGAATGGAGAAATTTCCTGAAAATTTTCAAGGTCACTTTCGATTCTGGGGGGAGAGTTCCAGGGATTGGGGATTCTGGCCAATGGGGAGATTACTGCATAAATTTTGTCAGTGATTTCTATAAGTGTAAATGCTGACTTAACTACAGCTGCCAATATTCCTACTTATGGCAGAAGCAAAAAAATTTGTTCACATGAAAAGAGGTGAAATACAACAGGTATATTCTAACATAATGCAAGTCTTCAATGAGCAGGATATAACAGCAGGTGAGGTAACTGTACTTCCTCTGGATAGGTCTGCTACCAATCGCCTGGTAACAAATATAAACATTACGTGCATCAGTGCCTAAGCTCACACAATTTAGGACTAACTTTATATGAAGGGTGTACCAATTTTTATCACAGAATATATACTATACATGTATATTTAAGTGTCATTATCAACCAAATAAGATAATGGATTAATAATCAGAATATTTAACATGTCTAATCTGTACTGTATTAGGATAGGCAGCACCCACTCTTTTATGTTTTCTGGACTTAGATAAGTAAAATCCTACAAGGCTGACAAAATATTTTCAACATTACCTTCAGTAGACAACTAACTGTAACCTTATGTGCAACTAGTCCTAACTTAAATTCAGAAAAAATGTAATCCACACATAATATAAGTACTGTACTATTGCTATGTTACAAATTTTGTTCTGAACACTGTACTGCATTATCAGAACCATTCATTTTGGTGCTCTTCCTTTCCGGCTTTACACTGCAACTATTAATGACTTCCTGCATAGTCAACTGACAGCACATCAGAAATAATGGTAATTTTACATACAGTATCATCTATTCTTTCACCCTTATCATCTATTCTTTAACCAAGTAATACGGTACTTGGTAAAATGATACATTTACACCATCACCTGAACAATTTCCTGCACAACACAAATTATGAGCATCATTCATCATGAATATTAAATAAAGCAGAGAAAATACAAACATACTTTATGTCATCACTCACATCCACTCACACTCGCAAGATTTCAAGACACTTGTTGTAGCAGATGGCGATCCAGTCTGGTTGTGTTGCCCCCCACTGGATCTGGTTTATTTCTCCTTCGGCAGCAGTGTATGCTAATATTGGATCTTCAATTGCTCTGGGCATCTGCTGAACATCCCATATTAACGCCTGATGATCATCACCTAAAATGGAGGATTCACACCTTTTAGCATCCTAAAGGACACAGTAACTTGTTTGACCTCAACCTCTCTACCATCTTATTGCCATACTTGTTCTTATCTAAAATAAAAGTCCATATACTGTATACACATATACATACTTGTATATTTGTGTGTGTGAAATTAACTTCAACCACTACATGGAGTCTTTTGTGCACCCAGGCCCTTCTCCCACTCTCTTCCACCACCACCAGTGCTCTTCCTTCCCACTTATCAATATGTAAAATTTGCAGTAATTGTCACCTCACCCAAAACAACACCTTACATTTTCTTATTTCAAATGGAATTCAAAACTGAAGCAAACAGAGGAATAAAAACACATGGAATGCAATGAACACAAAGAACAAATGTGTGACACAAGTGTAAAATCTTTACACCACAAAAAGATCTATAGCTTCATGATTAGCTGTCAAAAACAATGTGCACTGTGATTGGCTGTTTGGTTAGTGATGTCACAGCAGCCTTACAGTAGGATCACATAAGGATCAAAGTACTGTATGTACTTTGATTCTGCTTATATATGCACACCTCTATGGCTGGGTTACACACTGATCAAAATACTGTACAATTAAAACTTCTGCTTGTGTCGTAAGGCAGTCTTACTGGAGGAGTAATTTATAAGACAAAACCCATCTCAAGCCCCTTGCTGTGATGTTCTTTTTGTCAATTTAGGATAAAATGCTCATGAACTTTAAAATTTGGCCCTATATTGCCTATTCATGGACTTGCAATTTCATCAACTTCAAAATCAAACTTGCAGTATGTTACTGTCCATGTATAACAGCTCCACTGTGCTTGGATTTTCCTCAATAACTAAGTTTACCCATTAGCAAGCAAGAATTTAGAAATGAAATCTGATGTCACTGTTGAACTTCAGTTTCCAAAGCTTTTTTTTTCCATGACCACAACCTTTACAACACTTACCTGCAGTGCATATGTGAACAGATGAATGTGGAGCCCATGCAATGCCATTTACACATGCTCGATGGTTGTTCAGTCTAGCAACAGGTGTGCAAGGAACTCGTACATCCAAAATGATCACCTGCAATGGATTGAGATATTTAGGCAGAGCAAAGACAACTACTTAGTTCTGGTTCACCAACCAAGTCTTACTTCAACTCTATGACCCAATAATTATAGAAGCCAAAGCAAAGAAATTCCTTTTTTTTTATTATTAAACTTTATCAAAATACAAAACAGTAAAAATTAAATAAGACTTGAAGTGGAAAGCATTGAAAGTTGATCCCCAAAACATTAAAAAATTTCTTCACCTTTTATTCTTCCTTCTAAATCTTTGATAAGCTATATACTGTTCCTCTCTGAAGACTGACATGTCTTGAAGTTTCAGCTGCTGATCTTCAGTGAATATGAGAGCTAATAACTCCAAGAGATACTAATTATTCCCTACCCTTTTAAGAGGTTATTGGAAAACACACCAATGAAAATGAAAAATCTCTGCTTTGAGGCAAGCAAGCAGTAACAAAGCAGTCCAAGAACAACAGAAAGCTACTGACTACTTTGTTTCTGAAAGAAAACATTATTGTAAATTGGCCAGAACCCCCACAGAGCAATCAACTGCAATGAGTGACAAACTTTGTTTAACCGTACATATAGAGTAAGTATTTGATTTCAAGAAGAGCGCAACTGTAACTGGTCTAATAGTTCCTAAAACTTCAAATGTGGTTCTTCTCTACTACCAGATAATCAGCTATGGAAAGCTGAAGACACCTTCAGACAAACTGCAGGGACATTACTGAAATGTGCTCGTACTGCCACCATCTATAACAGAGGGGTCTGTGATATGCTCATGGTGAGGGTAAACTGGAACAAGACAGTCTAGACCTTTCACAATAATTAAGCTTTAGTGCCAAATTTGTCAATCATGTGAAAATGAAGATTTAAAAAATGTTTCCCAGAAGCATTGTGGTAATGTGAGAGGAAAGAAAGGAAAAAAAAAAAAAAAAGATTCAGCACACAACACTAACACTGGGTCTTGCCTGATCTCTCATGCAGTATGTTTTTTTGTCTATTGACCCACCTTATATTACTGGTAGCTATATTAATATCACAATTGTTCTGTTCCTATATTTTACCCAGTAGTCATTTCCTATTATCAAGCAGGAAGGCCCATGTAGAATTACCACTACTTCTATTTTTTTTACATTCTCTGCTATTTTAAGCAGGGCAAATATAGTATGGTTAGAAGCCCAAATCACGGCCACATTGGAGGAGAAAGAAAGAGGTCAACCCACCTGTCTCAGCCACATAACTTAAACTTGAAGGTGAATGAGTCTGGTCTAAAGACGAAGCCAGTGTCAAGAGCTTAGACCCAAGAAGATATATTTAGGGAAATACCTAAGTTTAGCAAAGATGAAAATTAATTTAAGCTTTGTTTTGTCTACATATTTTTTCTGTTATAATAAAAAATTTCCCTACCAACCATCTACCCCCCCCCCCCCAGTTGAAAGCTTAAACAGATGATAATCATGGGCAACTTCTATTTACAACATAGTGATCAGATTGCAACAATTTCTGTCTATATCCACATGAGACATACTTAAGCTGGGTAACAAGTGCAAAATCTTGAGAGAAATTTTCAGCACTTAAAATTTTCCTCATTGATAAACTAAACACCTATTGTCAAACTCGAATTTTGCAAAACCAGCATGATGGTAAGACTGAAGGAAGACCTAAACACAGGATGCCTCTTAAAATTTATCAGATCACAAAAATAAAAACTGTCGCAAATGATCTTTTTCCTCACATCAAGTACGGTATAAAGTAAATAACAGACAAATTACCTCACATGCATCCATGGCCACAGTTGAGAGGTAATTGGGGTCTTGTTTATTCCATGCTAGTCGCAAAAGAGGTGTGTGTGCAGGATCTTCATATATGATAGTAGAGTGTTCCAGGTGCCGCAGGTCAAACATTCTTACTGAACCATCAGCACCTACAGATAGACCACACATTAGCCTTGTTATTATAAATGTACTGTAATTATTATAACTATACCAAGGTACAAAGCAATGTCATTCTCCTCTGTTCTTGGTTTCCTCTCACATTCAATCTTCAATACAGATTACTGACTAACTAGATATAATACTGTACCTACTTACTGGTATGTCACTGTAAATACAGTAATTATATTTGGTTCATTCAAAAACACTCATTGTTTCCATGTTCTGCAATAAACAGAAACATTATACAGTAATAATATAGGACAACTTACCAACAGAAGCAAACATATCTCTACCCCCTCCAGCTCTTGAAAATGCAATGTCGAATACTTCTTTGTCGTGAGCAATAAGTTGTGTTTTAACATGACCAGAGACTACATTAACTCTACCCAACATCTGTCCAGTCTCCAGACCCCAGATGGTACACGTTGTGTCGATTGATGATGTACCAATGAGATTTGGCTCTACTTCATTCCAATCAAAGGAAGTTAGAGGAGCACAAAAATCTGAATTTTTGTTCTGAAACACGAAAATACAAATAATAGTCAATAAATATAAAAGCAAAGTAGAGTACTGTACACAGTTCATCTATGAGATGTTAGTCATGTGTAAGCACCAATATACTGAACCATTAAAGTAATCAATAGAGAATACAATAACTCTTATCATGACAAGTACCAACCACCTTAAGTTATGCTCAAGGCACACATTTTCAAAAGCAATTAAATTATTTTAAATACATAATCTGCCATGGAAAGTTGATAAAACCAAATATTATTACACTGTATCAAATAATTATTTTCACTTAAGGAAATGTAAAAAATTAATTATTAGTAATACAGGTGGACATGTTTATAACTAACAACTTCAATAACTTACATTATTGAGCAGGCATGCCATTCTTGTGTCCCCATCAGCCCCTTGTTGCCAAACTCTCAAATAGTCACCACTGGTAGCCAGAAGATCCGGATATATACCTTTCTGTTAAGTAAAATCAAAATTGCAATCATGAAAGTGTTTAAATAACTATGCTTCTCCATGATGAACATGTAGTAATATGCCATTTTCCAATATCCATCAGTGTGGTTCAGACTGCCTCTGTCCTTACTCAACTCCATATCTGTCCTACAAACAATCTTCCACTTATGCAAGACAAATTCATGATTTCCACAATTTATATTTTCCCATTTACTAAGGCCTCATTAACATACGACCAAATATTCTTATCCATTTTCTCCAACCATCATATCAGTAATACTTACACTATCTGGAATCCACATTATTTTTGTAGTTGGGTACGGGTGATCAAAAGTAGAGCGCACTACAAACTCTGAAGTGTCCTCATCCAGTTGAACAATTTGAACCTTGTTATTGTACTCTTCCACAAAACTTCCAACTGCCAGTCTGAACATCAAATGAGACAGAAACATATATATACAGTAATGTATATGTACATATATATACAGTTCTCAGTTGTATAGGTCTGTACATAAAACAATCCATCTTTGTGTACAGTTGTTAGTGCATTTTGTGAGATGTAGCAATTCTAAGTTTATTTACACTATTAAAACTCCTGGATTGTTCCTAAGGAACCTCACAATAGTAGCCAGACTAAGGATACTAACAAAGTATTCTACACATCTCACAAAATGCACCAGCCACAGTACTGAGTGTAACTGCAGGTGACTACGTAACCCAAGATTTTTTGGAAAAAGAAAATCCAACACAATAAAAGATATCGTTAGATTTAAGGTACTGATCGAACTGTACATGTAAAATTATAATCAAACTTTCCATTTGATCATGTAAAAAAAAACAAAAAACAAAAACAAGATCATTTCCAGCCTCCATTTCTATAAAGTAATACTGTACTGTACTTCCAATACTGTATATACAACCCACTAATTTCTTTCTACAAAAGTTACTTCTGTCATCCTGTGTGGGATGGCACCACCAATTTCTGTACAGTATTATTCAATATAATCTGCAATCAATCATCTCATTAACAACCAGTCCTACACTTACTCCTGACCTCCTGTACATGTCACATCAAACTGAATATCTAATCAGCTATACCGTATATGCAGTATTGAATATCCCTAGTGCCATAATAACTCAATATTTCAATATCTCAAGTTAACAGAAAATGAAAGGATAAAAACCACTAAACAATGTCCCCAAACAACTTTTACTAAATACACACCTCTTCTTCATCACAGTACTGTACAGTATATCACCTTATCCAATGTTCCTGGGTAACTATTTTTACTGTAATATACACAAACATCTTGAAACTTGAATTGTAGTTTATTCTTACGTACCTGAACCTTTTGTCAGGACGCACAGACCAATTCATGCTGTAAAGAGTCCATGGCGCTGAATATTTGTATATCTCCTTCCTTTTTGGGGGTGGATGTACTGACATTTTCCTCCGAAGATTTTACCACAATTCTGTGAACTATAGAGAAAATGTGAAGTAATATGGATGTTACTTCCATGAATAATAATAAAAAATGTACTGTACACTTTACTTGCTCTCATTTCTCTTTTCAGTCACCCTTTTACTCTCACTAATTATCTTTACAAAGTTGATAGTAGTTATAAAAAGATTTACATTTCCCTCAGCACCAAAGCCATGCTAGTTTATAACCAACAGTGGAAGAATTTTGGAATGTGATTTTGCTTATTAAATGTATTACAGTATTAAGGAATATCAAAACTTTACTACAGGACTGTATTGCCACAAAAAGTTCTTATAGTTATCAATATCCCCTCCAAATCAGATCCAATAACTGTTCATTTATTTCTAGTTTGCAGAAGGGTCCACTCTCATTAACAAGAATTTTTGCACGAAATTTTGCCAAAATTTATATAAAGTCCTCGCTTAATGTCGGGGTTACGCTCCTAAAAATGCGACGTTATATGAAACAATGTTAAGCGGAACAATTTTCCCCACAAGAAATAGATAAAATATGGGAGTTAAGTTCCTGAGCCTCCCTTTATCTCATGAAATACATTACATATAAAGAAAATCATTGCCATTTCTGTAGAAAATAATTCCTAAATATACAACTACTAAGTTTGTATTGGTACTCACGGAGATGGTAGAGCGAGTGTGTGGTGGGTAGTGAGGCAGAGGAGGTGGATGGTAAGAGGGGAGGAGTATGGCGGGAGCGGAGGAGGAGGGCAGTGAATCGCCTAGACTCTGTGGCTGCCGAGAGAGCATAGCACGGCCAGATGAGAGAAGGTGATACACCGTAAAAAGTAGTCCGTGACGATGCAATACAACGTTGTACCGAGTCATCGGGACATTAAACGAATTTTGGGTATCCAAAGATTAGCGACGTAGTATCGAAACAACGTTAGGCACCTGGACTCTTGTTCCTTACTATTACCGTTATCTCCTATTCAAAAGTTTCTAAAGTTCCTGGTTAACCTGCGATATTGTTCCAGAGTATTACAATTAATATTCTAGGATATGAGATTTGTTAATTCCATGTTACCCAATATTTTTCTTCATTATAAAAAGCAGAAAGAACTCATAGGGGTAAATATTCGTTTAATGGATGTGGCTCCTTTCTGTTATGGGAATAGGGTTATTTGGAGGGTGTGTATTGAGGTGTGTTTTATTCAAATCTGACCTTGATTTTTTGGGCAGAGGAATAAATTTAGAACAAATCCAATATTTTATTTATTTTGTTATTTTATTTATAATTTTTTTTTTTGGGGGGGGGGAGTGGGATCTATTCATTTGCACAAGAAATAAAGGTTAGATTTTAATAAAACACGCCAAAATACAAAAAACTCTTCTTAAAACAATTTCACTTCCAAATCACTGTTGAAACCTAACCTAACTAAATACGAAAATGTTGTCACAGCCAGTAAACTAATATTAACCCACAGAGGCAATGTTACCCATGAAATTTAAATTTTATCGTAAATAAGCACAGAAAATTCCAACATTTACTCAGCTATCCTGTCACATGTACAAACACAGATATAGAGTGTTAAGCCTGGAATTCTATTACCTATAAGAGCCAGCAGCCACGAGCTTCTCTTATACTATGGGAGTTGGTGAGGAGACCCCAGTGTGTACCTGACATGAGGCTCCACCGTAATACTTCAATACTACTTGTCAATCCTCTGTAAACATGATGACTTAATATTGTATAGTATAAAGAGGTACAGAATCGATTACTATATCGTGGTATATGGAAGTAATAACTATTTTAAGCTAATTACAAGCGTTCCGTTTTCAACTTGCCGCTACTTAGCATTTGACATTTTAGCCGAAAAATATGAGCGTTACGTCCCTCATATCTACTTCATTTAAACCTAGACTTCAAAATTAAATACCATTTCGTTTCTCTGACAATAGAAGTATATCAAACCTTTATACGGCTCCAAAATATATTCAAAATAAGTCAGCTTCCCCCTGTGTTACAACCGCGCCGCTGAAGCAATGGCGGGCGACTCGCTCTTGTTTATAGCAGACAGGTCAACCAACATTATTATTTTCAAACATGGATTACGGCGTCAATTATTACATATATTTTGTAATATATTTAATACATAATTTTTTTAATATTTATAAACAAAATAAGTCGATTTAATCCCGGAAATCTTACAAATTACTTATCAGAATTTCCGGGAGGGTTGGCCGCATGACAAGGGTGATGCTGCGCTTTGCCTTTATCTCTATTACAAGCAACTTCTTCTTTTCTGCTACAACGTGTTTAACATCTATATTTCTCTTCACGACATCAACCATATGTTTTCCTTTGAAATTTCTGGATAATTCTACAGATTACATTAAAAACTGAATTATGTCAAAAGTTTTTACAGTATACGCTAGGAACTCTCTTTGATCATTACAATATTCAGGAGCTGCTTCACCTATCTCGCAACACTTGATATTCAAAATTTCCATCCTAATACTTCAATTTAATTATTAAATTTTCAAATAAATGTAATAAAAAATACACTACTTTAAATAAGAGGCATTAAGGCAAGTCATGGAGATTATTATTCGGGTTAATAAAGAGGGTAGTGTAGTGTCCTGTGTTTCCCGACCCGCCCGGCCTGTGAGAGTTTATTTACTACTGTATGTCAAAGTCAAGATGAAGGTAAAAGTTAAATATTCTCCCACACAGAAGTTTGTATTAAATATAGAAGAACAGACTCTTGGGGTCTTGAAAGATGAAATTAAGAAGTTTGTTGAAAACACTTACAATCAACCTGTCAAGTAAGTGCAATAGAGTGAACTCCAGTGTAATATTTTGACGTCATGTGATTATTCCACTTATTAATCCAGTACTTTACACTGAAACGAACCAGAATGAATTATTTACTGAAAACAGAGATAGACGTGTGTTGTAGGCTCACACTGCATAACTGTGTACTATAATTCACAGAATTTTCAGTAAAATTTTGGGTAAAGGTGGAGGAGACAACACCAGGACTATAGACTATGGAATTACACCAAATTTTCAGATGTTATTTGAAGGAGACTGAGTAATAAAATCAAAGCAACAATATTGTAGTAATTTTTCTTTCTTTTTTCCTTTTTGACCTATCCTTCAATCATAAATTACTTCTTAGTGTACAGGGCATGAAAGAAGAGTGGAATAACAGGATAAAAACACTGTGGACACTGATCATATGGCACTAATTTCACGTCTGTACATTCTTTGTCAGTGAAAAGCTACAATATTTACAGTAATTATGGCACCGTCAGATCTGCCTTGACGACCCTGTTTCGGTTCACATCGTCTGTAATACAAGAGTGTCTGTGGCCTTTGTTACATGAAGATATGAACGATCTCCTTGGGCGTGTTTATATTGAATAGAATTCTTTAATTTTTTTCAAAATGTTTGGATGATACTGTAATAATAAAAAATCAAAATAACGATGCACAGATTAGAAAGCTAGGTAGATTATGTCAGGTTCTAATACGTTCTGTGCATTTCTGCTTCCATTTTCGTATTCAATTCAGTATTATGCAAATAGTATCTCCAGAAATTTTGGTTCAATTCCATAAGTTATTTCTGGTGCTGCCTCCTCCATCTTTTATCAACTTTTGGGATTAGTCCTTATACACTAATAAATCATCCTCCAAAGCCTTCCTCCTGGTACAGTACTCCAGTTTCCTCCTATACTAACAGAACAACTGCTTGAATGGCTAGTAAGCTGATAAGTGATGAAATGATAAATAAAAACGGTATCACACGTTAACCAGTAACGCTAATGTATGCACTTACGACAAAAATTTCTCAAACGCTCTAAGGGTCATACAATATGACAAAATAAACAAGAAACCTAAACGTTGCTGTGAGATTGTGAGATGGAGTATCAACGTACGATATGTTTTCCCACGTGTGGAGGCGGGAGTTTGTCTGTGGCAGCGCCGGGTTGCCAATCACTGTCTGATGCTGCAAAAATAAATTCTCCAAAGAACCTGGTCTATTATTCAAACTTCTCACAGTTGCTCTCTGAGAAAGTTTTATTACTAAATTAAATTACTTCTTTTCACCTTTAAATACTCGACTATAAAGACGAGCAACATATTATGAAATATTGAGTCAATTTGCAATCAGGCATACCAAACCATTCTGAGTAGACACGAACCATAATGCTCATTCTGTACTTTCCCCGAGATAAATGTGCAGTATATATCAGGTGCCACTAAAAGAACTCAGGTTCTCAGTTGGCTCAGCCATGTAAATATTGTTAATATTATCCACTCCGTGTCTATATTTTTCTGGCTAAATAAACTGTTTTGACATCAATATCAACTGCAGCACCCTTGCACATAGTTGAGGATTTATTCCTTAGACAATAAAAGCTTTTTTTTTACCTTACGGTATTTATCTTGTGGCCACCCACTAGAGGTGGCCTTGCCAAGGGAAGAAAGTCCATGGCTTGTGTAGGATCCCTCCATTGTTCTTAATAGTTTTGTATAGAGCTATTTTGAAGCCCAGTACTGTACTGTTTGTGACTCCACAGCTTGGGCTGGTAGACCATTCCTTTGGTCCTTGTGAAAATGACAAAAAGTGTATGAGGAATATATTTTGAGTAATATCAGTTTTACAATTACTACATATTTACATCTGGGAGGCAAAGGCAAAAAGCTTCCCGTGTGTGATATGTTGGTTTCTTGTTTTGGGGTTTCTTGTAAAGTGGCTCCTTCCCACAAGTCTGACATCTGAATTACAGTATTACCAAAGTGATATTATGGAAAATGTGAATTATTTTTTTACTTTTAAGCTTTTATCTCCTGGGTGAAATTTGCTCAAGTTGGTGTTAAGTGTCACCCCAGTAACTGTTACAAAAAAATGGTAATAGTCAAGGGTATGGGTTCTCCCTAACTACTATACCAACTCTAAGAAATATCACCATAGAAGGTAAAGGCTTTCTTACCTCATGGAAAGGCCAAAAAGTACATGAGGGGAGGTTATTGATACCTCATGGAAAGGCCAAAAAGTGCATGGGGGGTTATTGAAGGAGTTTTTATGATTAAAATGGATAAATGAATTTTCTGGGTAATTGGTGTCAGAATACCATGATCTTTACTGTAAAAAATGAATATCATAAACTAAAAGCTTACATTAATGTATCTAATTAACCATATTTACTTTTCAGGGAACCCTTAACAGTCAGTCTGAATGGTTCAGATCCACTCACTGGCCCAGAAGATGCTACATTGCAAAGTTTGGGTATTGTTCCTGGTGATATGCTGATAGTACTTCCACCATCATCAGTCACAGACAGGGCAAAATCATCACCACAAAAGACAGTTGCATCTTCACAGGCAAGTGCTTCATCCCAAGCAGAAGTTAAGGCCTCTACTTCAACCTCCCCAAATAAAGATGTCAAAGAAAAGAAGACTGATTTTAACACACAAGACACCCATAGTGACCCAAAAGTAAGTAAGAAAAGAGATCCCTCTGAAAGTCCAGTTGAACAGCCACCAGCAAACTTGGAAATATTATTTAATGAATATACTCCTGCAACAGCAAGTCAAGCCCTAAATCTTTTGGTTCATCACACCATATTAGAATCTGGCTTTCATCTGAAGAACTCTTCAGGACCACCAGTTGGTTGGAAGGAAATGGTTGCAACATTCCATTACAGTCACAACTCCTTTCCTAACTTTAAATGCACTCTAGTTCTAGTTACGATGGGAGAGGTGAAGCAGGTCTTAGCTAGTTTCCCTCAACAAGAAAGTGAAATCAGTGTTCGCTTGATGATTGGAGAATATTTCAAAGACACCTCTAGCAGCCCAGTAACAGCAGATAGTCTGGTTCATGTTGCTCAATTAACTCGTACTCTACGAGATCGCTTGCTTCATCCATTGCAAATTGCTGTTCACCAAGCATTAGGAGTACCAGCCCCGTGGCACTTAGTTGGATTGCCACAAGAGTTACTATTAATGATTGCTGGTATGTTGGACTATCACTCCGTACTCAACTTGCGAGAAACGTGTCGCCGTTTTCACTCAGTCATGGATGATAACAAATTGTGGCAAAATCTCTTCAAGAGAGACTTCAGTAATCTTTATGGTGGTTCAGGTAACTCAAATATTGTGGATTGGAAAGCAAAATACAGGGAAGCAGTGAATCGCCGTAAAGACTGGAAACGAGTGCAAGATGGATTGGAGTATGTAATCCCAGGAGTATTTCCAACTTCACCATTTATGCCGCCTGGGTACCCAGGTGGGCCATATCCTCACTTTCCACAACCTAGAGGTCCAGATCCTTATGCACCTCAGCCCCATCCTCAACCTAACCCATTCTTTGATCCAGATAGCCCATATTTTTCAGGTGAGATTCCAATAGTGCCTGGCACACTCCCTGAAATTCCTGACCCCCTTGGCCCTTTGGGTCCAATTGGTCCACTACGCCCCAGACCAGGTAATCCTTTTCAGCCTCCTTTTATGCCCACCCGACCTAGAGCTCCAAGAGGGCCAAGATTTGATTTCTTTTGAGTTTGCAATTGTATCTGAGTTCAGTTTGTTTCTTAAAAAAATATACTTTACTTTAAAAATTAATGTTGTTAACTGGAGCAAATAGAGAGAAAGACAAAATAGAATGAGGAAGTACAAGATGGCCACAGTGAATTGTCACCCCTGTGGAGCTTTGGATTTATTACCAGTACCTATACAATTATACTTTTGTTGCATATATTTTATCCCATGACATTATACAATTACATTGCATTACATCTATCTTTAAAGATGACATTGCTCATTCGTCCAATCAATCTGTTTGTGCACCACCCTGACCTCTCCACAAGTAGTAATGCTTTTTCGGGTTTCATCAAGGAACACGTGACCCAGAGACATTATAACACCAATAACAAGCTTAAAGATATTATCACATACATATCTTGTAACCCCTAAAATGCTCCTGAAAATGTCAGGCTCTCTCAAGTGATATTGCCTTAATAATTCCATTGGATCCATGACCTACGCAACATTTTTAAAGGTACAGTACATGTAATGTCATGTTATGTAATGGACACAAGTGAAATAAAAGCAAAACATAAATGACAAAGCCTAAGTTACACAGGTTACAAGACATTGTTGTCACCCAGTGTGTTATGCATTGCAGGATCTTTGATATGAGCAGCAGAACCCTAAAGGGATTAATTCAGTGGTAAGAAGTAATGGTAGACCATTCACCCCACGTGTGAATGGTCTTGATTTGGTCCCTGGCTTGAGTAGAGCATTTGGCTTCCTCCTTATACACTAATCCTGGGAATACTAACAGGTGCACCTACTGATAGTGGAGCAGCCCTTCAAAAGACTAGCATCCTGCCAGGGAGGTAGGGTAATCCACTCACTGCAGAATGATGAGTCAGGGGACTTGGCACCTGCCCAGTAACCCTGCAGGAAAACACTTGCAAGAGTGAAAAACAAAAACAAAGTATGGCAGAATATGAGAACATCCTTATTTCCATTGTCTAAGCAAGCTAAGGGTAGACCGACTTCCAAAATAAGCCATAATAGAAGAATCAACACTCATTTTTTAATGGTGTATGAAAATAAAATTCAGACCATTACATATTAATTTATGTTTGGAGTTTACTGGTTGATCCTAAGTTCTTAACATTAGCAAATGGAAGAACTTCTAATCTATGGTCGGACATATCGGTTGTGGAATTATTAGCCAATGTGCATGAAGAACCACTCCCTGTTATATTCAGTCCCTGGGGCAGGAGATGCTGTTTCTTATTGGGAAAGTACCTGGCTACAAAAAATAGTAGAGGGTACTGTACTACACAAAAAAAAAAAAAAAAAAAAAATATATATATATATAATATATATATATAATATATATATATATATATATATATATATATATATATATATATATATTATCTACTGATTATGTGAGAAGGATCCATGTTTCAGTTGTTAGAACTCTGTACCATTGCATGAGAAACAATTTACTTAAGTTGAGGCAGAGCTGGTGTAGTATTATTTTGTTGTGTGCATTTAGGCAGCCCCGTTGTGGGTCGATCCTTCTCATTTGGGGATTGCCCACCCCAAAAATTTTATGAAATGCCATTAAAAATGTTAGGTTTACTTACATGAAGTTAGCAGATTGCATTTTTTTTTATCACACAAACCATATACAATACTGTAGTTCGATTTGAGAAAAAAATTATTACAGTATATTAAAGGCAGTTCATTGTAAGACTTTTTTTTAATAACCCAAATGCCATCAACAGTAACTGAAGATAACTTCAGTGGTGCATCCCACACCAACCTACCTTATCCATGGGAGCCTATAATTCTCCAATGGCAGGTTATACCTGAACTATCCAACTGAATTATCATAAGTGCTGTAAATGGCTCCTCACCTACTGAACCAATGTCAAAACAAAGCTTAAAAACCCATGAAACAGTGGTTACTTTGAGGTCACTAGACTGAAGTCCTGATACAGAAAACTGTACTAGTTATTTCTCATCTATAAATGTGACTCCCAGAATTCACTATTCTATCACAATTAGCTAGATACAGCACTTAGAATGTGTTTCCACTTCTCCTCAACTAGTATGTTTTCTTGGAATTAGGGTATCATATAATTCTTTTTTCCAATATGCAGAATTATTGTAAGTGATGAAAATGCTATTTTAAACCAATTTACCAGTACACATACTTATTTGTATAAGGGAGTAGCGGGAAAGACTCCGGTGTAATCCAACTTAATTATCAGCCAAAAAAGTGTTCAGACTTAAGAGTATTCATAAGTGTATTTTAGAAGACAAGAAATGGTAAATGCAACTCATCATGCCAAGTCATACAGGGCCATATCCAGAGAATGGGGAGGTCACAGTGTTGGACAAAACCCACAATAAACATATGCCAATTCAAGATGCTGATGCTAATATACAGTATTGTTTTAATCACATAATCATTCATATTCCTCAACCTGGTCGCAGTGTTCACAGTTTAGAAATCAAATATATAATCTACTTATAATTTTTTTCTGGGACAATCAAGTTGTTACAGACACTCAATAACCTCCCCTGGGTATGACCCCAGTCATAGCCATTAATCTTCCAGTTACCAAACACCTACAGGGGAGCTCATTGACCTTTAATCATGCCACTAACACAGCTGCTTCAAAGAAATACCTGATTAAAGAGTGAATGATTAACCATCCAACTGAATTTTTACACTCAAGCATACAACCTTTGAGGATTTACTTCCACTATGACTTTGAGTGGTGTCTTTGCAAATGATCACTAGATAGAGAAGCATAGTCATGTCAAGTGATCTCAAAGCAATCAGTCCTTGGGCTTTGTTTCTACACTGGTTCACTGGTCAAGAAGCTTTTCACAGTACTGTACTTACACCAATTCATCTGAACAGTGTAACCTCCCACTGAAGTAGGTCATGCCCCCTGGTCAGGACAAGTTGGTCAAGGAATGCTTCAGTTGAGATAATACTGCTCACTCATCTTCTCTTGGCTATAAAAGTAAATTTAATTTTTCCTTTTTTTTCCATTCTAGTCATTGACCTTATTTTAGTTTTCATAGGCTCACAAAAGCCTATGTTAATGCATGGTACTAGTACAGTATTGCATTATAAACCACCAATCAGAACATCTGTATACAGTACTGTTTACTCTGGAGTGTCATGTGTGGAAAGGAAATACAATTACTGTATTGTATACATAATTTAACTGAAAAATAAAATTACCCATTTTGTCAGTGGAGTTAACACACTGTGCATTACTGGTTCAGTAGTGTACGTATATCATACCTTTTTACACTGATATTGCCAATATTATCATAGCTGAAGAAATATGCATGAATATAGTGTATTGTTAGAATTCTAAAGTACACAATATATAACTACTGTACAGGGGGTATATTTTTTGTATCTTGTAAATCTTAAATGAAAAAATAAAATTTAAAACCATTCAATTTGAAACTGATTGTTTAAATTTTATCATTCCTTCCTCATGATAATAATTCAAAAGTTACAAAAGTATTGTACAGTATATTAAAAGCCCCCATAGGTAAAGTAATCCCTTAAAATAATCTAATAGCTTGCTCTGGTAAATATCATGTTAAATCCAAATTGTGTTTTATTTCTACATAGAAACTATTGTGCATTATACTCTAACTTGGTCCAAAAATTTTCCTTAAATTCTCCCTTCCCAAGGCTGCACTGCCTGCATCCCAGCTCACACTACCTCACTGCCCACAAATAAGCCCCCTACTTGCTATAATACATTTGTATAAAGATGCTCACCACAAAGCCCCTCCTTAACTACCACCAATCATACTTAACCAACACATGACCTCACCTGCTCTAACAACACATTTTTATTTAGTATAAAAATTTATGTCAAATATAAACACAAAGAGGAGGGGTTCCTTGGGGCACAATAATGGTTCTTCCCGCAGTTGTGCCACAACAAGGGTGACTAAATCCTGTACAGTACATTATTACTAAATCCTGTACAGTACATTATTACTAAATCCTGTACAGTACATTATTACTAAATCCTGTACAGTACATTATTATGGTGATCCCTCGGTTAACGAGCGCCTCGGTTAACGAATTACCTTCCATAAGATTCTTAACTTCGGTTAACGAGCATTCCCTCGATTAACGAATTCCTTACGAGCGCCCCTCAACATGTTTTCGCTTGCACACTAGCTGTCGTATTAGTCCGCCAATACAGTAATCGGTTCTAGGGCTTAAATTCCTTACCATTTTAGTAAATATCAAGAAGGTTGTACTATTCAATCATTTTAAAAGTTTTATATTAATTTTTTTAGTCATTTTAACAATTATTGAACATAATTGAAGTACAGGAAACTAGTTTTATGCACGCCAAACAGCCTGTCAACACACCAAACAAGCGTCAGTCTCTGTGTCTTTTCAGTGGAAGTAACATCTTGCTTCAGACTCTCTCCAACATAAATGCTTTTTTTCTGTGTTTTCAGTCAAATTATTGGTCATTTTGAAATTTATTTCACATATTGATGATATATAGCACAGTGCAGTGCTAATTTAAAGAAAATATTCTTTATTTACAGCAATTAAACTTAAAATATAACATGCTGAAATTGTTTTTGAATCCAGCATGGGTCCCAAGAAATCTAGAAAAGCGATTTCAATTCAGATGAAACAGGAAATAATTAGAAAACATGAAGAAGGCATTAGAACAAATGTGCTAAGCAAAGAATATGGCATGTCGACATCAACTGTGTTGACAATTCTTGCACAGAAAGACAAATTCAAGGAAGTGAAAGTGAGAGACAAATCTACCAGAGTGTTCAAAGGTAGATCCCTAATAGCAGAAACAGAGAGGTTACTTCTCATCTGGATTAGGGAAAAACAGATGAAAGGTGATTCAGTTTCTACTGAATTTATTTGTGAAAGAGCCAGGGAAATATATGAACATTTAAAGGTAGATCAACCTGGTTCTTCAGGCACAGACTTTGAAGATTTTAGGGCCAGCAAGGGCTGGTTCGAAAAATTTAAGAAAAGAAGTGACATACAGTATTTAGTGTTGTTAGGCATGGTGAGGCTGCCAGTGCTGATAAGGAAGGTGCAGCAAAGTTTTTAGTGGATACAGAAAATTTTCTTCTACAGCAAGTGTTCAATGTGGACGAAATTGGGCTGTTCTGGAAAAAGATGCCCAAAAGAACATTCATCACCAGAGATGAAGCCTCTTTACCTGGGCATAAACCCATGAAAGACCGCCTCACTCTATTGCTTGGTGCCAATGCTTCAGGGGATTTCCGACTGAAGCCTATGCTTGTCTACCACTCTTGAGAACCCCAGGGTGTTCAAGCAACAAAAAGTGGTAAGAGGACGGCTTGGAGTTTATTGAAAGTCCAACTGTAAGGCATGGGTAGCAAGACAGCTCTTTAATGAATGGGCTGTTGAGGTGTTTTGCCCTTCTGTGAAGAGCTACCTAACCACCAATAAACTCCCTTTAAAGGCTCTCCTCCTTATGGATAATGCCCCTGGTCATGCCCCTCAACTTGCCAGAACTTTGGAGTCTCAATTTGACTTTGTCAAAGTGCTGTTTTTGCCTCCCAACACTACATCAATCATACAGCCAATGTACCAGAATGTGATCAGCAACTTTAAGAAGCTGTACATGAAGAAAATGTTCAGGAGGTGTCATCAGGCAACTTCCACTGATCCTGAACTAACACTGGCACAGTTTTGGAAGACACAGTTTAACATCCTGGAGGCTGTAAAATTGATTGTGTCCTCATGGCAAGAAGTCTCCACTAGATCCCTCAATTCTTCATGGAAAGCACTGTGGCCACCAGTAGTCCATGATTTTGAGGGATTTCAGGATGAAGCAGAGTTGCACCAGGAGATTGTGTCCATTGGTCAGTCATTGGGCCTTGAAGTGGAGGAGGATGATGTAGAAGAGCTTGTGATGTCTCATGAACAGGAACTTACTTCTGAAGACTTGCAGCAACTGGATGAGATGTTAGAGGCTGACAGTATTGAGGAGGAAACGGAAAGTGATGACCATATGTCAACTTCAGAGTTGAAAGATGTTGTTCACCACTGGGAGAAGTTCAGGAAACTAGCTTCAAGGCACCCAGATATGGAAAAATCTGAACTAGCTTTGTCATGTTGAGGACACAGTGGTCTCCTTCTTCAAACATCAGTTAATGATGAAGAGGAGAGATGCCCCACAGACAAAAATTGACAGTTTCTTCAGTAAAAGGCAGCAGGAACAAGATGCTAGCCCTCAGCCTTCCACTTCAAGAAGGAGAGAGGATGTTCATGGTGGAGAATCTGTCAGTCCAGAGGTTCCTGACATTTTCATGGAAGGTGACTCACCTTCCAAGAAGCAGTAAAATGCTTCTCCTCCACCTCCACTTCCTTCTCTTCTCCCTTCTCCTCCTCCACTTCCCACTTCAAATTCACATCAGCATCATCATCCAGGAGCCTTCTACATACACACCTCAAAGTAAAAAGTACTTTACTAACTTTTTTGTTGACTTTAGGCAATTTTCGGTGAGCTGGAACCAATTACCAAAAAACCATTGAAACAATGGTTTCGGTTAATGAATTTTTCGGTTAACGAGCAACCTTCCAACGAATTGTGCTCAACCAAGGGACCACTGTACTGTACAGTATCTATTCTAGAGAATGTAAGGTTTCAGTGTATCTTCAGGCTATACAGTGATTGTTGCCACAAAATGTAGTTTTTAAGTAATCATCATCATTCTATGGACACATAATACAGGGTGTCCATAAATGATTACCCTGATTAAAGCATGGGAGCATACTGTTTTTAGGGTAATCATTTATGGACACCCTGTATATTAAAACACATAATAAATTCGTATCTAAACAATACTAGCAGAATAGCACACAATCTACATAATACTGAATTATAAGGCTTAAACAAGTCACTCACTTGTTACATAAATAGGGCAGTTAGTAATGAATTGATGAAGCCAATGTTCCTCAGGTGAAAAAGCCTCAGTGCTGCCTCCTCATACTAGGATCCTTCAGGTAAATAATCCAATTGTTGAGGAAACCCTTCCACTTCCTGAGAGAAGACTGAGCTACTAGTGACAGGTTAGTAACTGAAAGTTAGTGGACATACAAATTTTGAAAGATGTAACAGAGCCAACCTTCCATACTGGAGGAATCATGTGCATTCAAAATGTTAACTGATTATTATGAATGTTCATAGGCAACCTATCTCTAGCAGTCAATAGGACATTAATTTTCATTTCTCAGGTGGAGATAAACATCTTTCACTTCAATAGTGCAGGTAGGAATGCAGTTCTTGAGAATTTTGTTTGGGAAACATATCTGGCTCTTCACACTTACCCCAGACATTTGTTTTATAATTTTACATCTATCATAACAACTGCATCATAATTTTCAGTTTTTGCTTTAAATCAGTTCCTCTAACTGTCTAATTTCCCAGATAAACTTTTTTTTTAAGGCTTGAACAAATCTAAATTACCAGAATAAAATCTTTATTGTTGTTTCTTACTTAACACTTCAATAAATGGAATCATCCTGGGTTGGTCATCATGGTACTATGTGATGGTGAAGGTGAACAACAACAGTGATGAAACTATAAAGAGAAGTGAGACAGAGAAATAAATGTTAGCTTGAATGGTAATACAAGTACAGTATAGAATAGAATGGAAGTGGACTGTTTATGATATCTGAGAGCAAATGTGTTTACAAATTAATTAAACAAGAAAGATGGAAGGAAAGAAAGTAAAAGACACCTTAATGAATGTATGGAACCCAAAACTATATCAAAGTACAGTAGGCAAAGATGAGGATATATAGCTGCTACTGGACTATTAATGTACACAAGTGTTAAGTATGGACTTGAGATTCAAGGAGGAGGAAATTAGAAGCAAAATATGTGACATGCTTGAGAAAATTATGTTGAGTAAATTGGATGCCGAAAAAAATGAATACAGAAGTAAGGAGGAGATATGGTAGTGTTAATGAAGTGTTGGGCAAAAAGCAGGTTAGGGTTTACTCAGGTGATGATGATGTTTTGCGTGAAATGACAATAAACCAATGAGTTTGGGGCCTTGCAGTGAAAGAGGGCTAATATAACTGGAAACATTAATAAGCAATAATAAAAATTAATGAAAGGGGATTGTATGGGTGCATTTGCTCTTGAGTCTGACCATTCTGTACTAAGCAGGAAAAAAAATGGGTGGAAAAACTAGTTTCTTAATATTAATTGCCTCAGTACACATACTCTGAGGAAGATGTTACTTAATTAGCATTGATAGAATTATGATTTGTTACCCAAAACATGAAGTATTATACTGTACTCGTTTTTAAATTCTTCCTGACAAAGTCTTCTCATACAATCGATAATATTACATAATAAATATATACAAATTCAAATTTGTGATCTTAACTTACACTAGCCTTGATTGTATTCTTTCTGCAGCTCCTCTCTTGCCTTGCCTTTAATTTTGGGCATCTTTTTATTGGTTGTGTCGTGCACCTCATTGTCACGGTAGTAGTGAGGAGCAACTTCTAGAAGCCATTTGCCATCAATCACTGCCACATTACGCATATATTCCTTAGTAGTCAAAACTAACTCGTGGTATACAACCCATCTCGGCAGATCCTCTACCAAACATGATTGTGGGTGCATCATCACAGTTTGGCTCTTTTTAGCAGTTTTGTACATGCCACCTTTACTAAACCTTGCCACATGGTAGAAATATCCCGCAGTAATGGCCTTTCTGATACTAACGGAGTCACCTGGATTGGATGTTAATTGCACTTCTACCCGTTCCATGAGCCCAACAAGCTGATCTCGAATATCTCTCGCCCGTTTCATGGACCGATACTGAATGAACACCTCATAGCACCACTGTGATGAATATTCTGTTCCTGCCCACTCATTGTAAACATTCATTAAAGTTAAGTGATCACCATCAGGATGAAAGAAATTCTTTCTTGCAGTATCAGCATGAATTGCCTTGTCTTTAGGCCTGTAAAAGATGGATCCATTTACAGACAACATTGCAGCAATTGTGAGGACTTCTTCAACAACTTTATACTGATCAGCAGCTAAGATCATCCGGGACATCATAGGATCCACTGGGATTTCGGCCATCTTTCTGCCAGTAGAAGTTAGTTCACCCTTGTGATTCAGAGCTTTCAATGCATACAGCTGTTCCAGAGCCAGCATGAGAGTTTCAGCTGGTGGTGGATCCAGATAATCAAAGTTGATGAGATCATGGATACCAAGAGACTTGAGTTGAAGCACAACATTTCCAAGGTTAACCCTTTGGATTTCAGGAATGGTATTCTCATCCATCTCGTTCTCAAATGCCCACTGAGTATATAATCTAAAGCATTTGCCAGGACCAACTCTTCCTGCCCTACCTGCTCTTTGATTGGCTGATGCTCTAGATATTGGAACAACTACTAGTGACTCCATGCCACTTCTTGCATTAAAATAATTCTGTTTAGCATAGCCAGGATCTATAACATATTTAATACCATCAATAGTTAGAGATGTCTCAGCAATATTTGTTGCTAGAATAACTTTCCTTGCTCCCGGAGGAGTTGGCTCAAAAATCTTTGCCTGCATATCAGAGGGCAAGTTGGCATATATTGGTAATATTAACAATTCACGAATTTTACTCCCAAGGGCTTTGATTCTTTCAGTTAAAATTTCTTGACAGGCCTCAATCTCTTCCTGACCTGTGAGAAATAACAGAATGTCCCCAAGATGCTGAGTAATATGGATCTGTAAGATAGTTACAGCAGCAGCATCAATATAGTTAGCTTCTGGACTCTTGGTATAATAAATATGGACTGGGTATCTCCTGCCTGGAATTCGAAATATAGGTGCTTCATCAAAGAAATCAGAAAATTTGGCGGAGTCCAGAGTGGCACTGGAGATGAGTAATTTTAAGTCAGTACGAAATCTTGTAATGTCCTTCAGTAACCCAAAGAGAATATCAGTATGTAGAGTTCTTTCATGAGCTTCATCAATAATCATAACACTATAGCCATCCAAACTAGGATCCATGAGAAACTCTCTCAATAACATACCATCTGTCATATATTTTATCCGTGTCCGTTCACTGGTGCAATCCTCAAACCTGATACTATATCCTACTTCATTTCCAAGCTTTTTGCCCATCTCTTCAGACACACGGGCAGCAACACTCATTGCAGCAACTCTTCTTGGTTGAGTGCAGCCAACTTTCTTACCATCACTACAAAAACCACCCTCACATAAATACTGTGGTATCTGTGTTGTCTTGCCAGATCCAGTTTCCCCTTCAATGATCAAGACTTGATGTTCACTGATAGCATCTAATAAAGCTTCCCTGAAGGGGAACACAGGCAAGCTCTTCCTTACATCATCTATTGAAAGCTTCTTTTTCTGTGATTCAGACAGCTTTGGTTCCTCTTCCTCCTCTTCCTCCTCTTCCCCCTCTTCTTCTTCCTCTGATGAAGAAATAAGATCTAAATCTATCTTCTTCTTCTTTTTCTTTTTCTTACGGGTGCCTTCTAGGGGAAGTGATTTAATGAATTCAATTTCATCTTCTAAAACAAGATTGTACTCTTTCTCTTGCTCTTGATATTTCTTAGCTTTGTCTCTTGCTCCAAATGATAGAGATGTTCCTCTCATTTGATCTTCCTCCCATTTTTTCTGTTCATAACCATGTTTCTTCTCTCTTTCATCCACCTCTACATATTTATCATCTACACTTGCACCTTCCTCCGGCATCACATATCGATGAACATTTTCTGCTTCTCTTACTTTATCATAGTCTTTCGCCAATTGGAGAACAGACTTTTTATATTCCCGCTCCTTCTTCTCCCTTTCTGTAAGTGCTTCTTCCTCAAAGAGATACTCATCATCTACAATATCTGCTTCCAGTTCTCTCAGTTTATCATCCTTACGCTTCACAAGGTACTTCCGACGAGACTCCACTCTCAGCTTGGGAAGAATTTTTCCGCGATCTTTCTTTTCCAACTGAAGTCGTTTTGCAGCCTCCTCAAAACCTTTTTTGTCTCCCTTCTCTGCAAAATTTTTCGTACGTTCTTCATCACGCTGTCGTAGTCTCTCTGCATATTCATCTCGATCACGCAGATCCCTTAATCGCTGTGCTTCTTCATCGTCACCATCAGAATCATTTTTCCTGGAACCTCTCAGAAGCTTAGGCCCCTCACCATCAGAATCAGAGCTGTCTTCAACCTTCCGTTTCTTTGCAGCATCAGTTGGCTGATTATCAGCTTTAGCAGAACCAGTTTTAGCATTATCACCTGTAAAACATAAGATATATTTATTACATATACTGTACTGTATTGAGGTTAACCCTTTAGAGGGCAGCAGTTTATCTCAGCTGAATAAAATTGTCTCGCATTAATAAAATACAGCATGCCCTGACAATTCGCAGACCTCGATTATTTGCAGAGGACACCCTGGATGTACCCATGAATGTCTATGGGTAGTTTTAAAGTTGCTGGCATTTTTGGGGCCGGGACAGGGAGAATTCATTCTCGAGACAGTAATTTCAATTACCTGTATTGTATACAGCTCCTCCCCGACTTACGACGGAGTTAGGGACCCAAATCCAGGTCGTAAGTCGAAAATGCTTAAATAATACATAGAAAATCTAAAATGGGTGTCTCTTTTTCTTCTCAGCACCACAAAACTCTCACTTTTAAGCTTGCCAACCATTTTAAAGTGAATTACAAACGAAAATTTTGTCTGTGTACTGACGTTGGGACTCAAAAATACGTAATTTGACAAAATTTTGGTACGACTGAGGGAGGTCGTAAGTGCGGGTGGTCTTAAGTCGAGTAGGTCGTAAGTCGGGGAGGAGCTGTATATATATGTGTGTGTGTATACACACACACACACACACACACACAAATAAATAATACACTATAATGGGAAAATCCTCTCACAAATAATCAGAAACAAATCCCACATCCCCAGAATTTTCCGGGTAATGGAAAAATGTTCTTGGAAGTTCCCAAATGGTGCATTACATCATCTCTCAAATCCGGAAAAATATCTCCCATCCACGATAGTTTCCAGGTACCGGAAAAATGTTCATGGAATTTATGGAAAATGTGTCTGATTTTCGTCTCAAACCCGGAAAAATAAACTGCCGTCTTCCCCGAAATTTTCTGGGCACTGGGAAAATTTTCTTGAAAATTTCAAAGAAATGTGCCCCTCGGAAAATTGTTCCCAAAGCTAAAATTTTCTGGAAAATTCCGGCTTTGGGAACAATTTTCTGAAAAAATTTCAATTCCAGCCATAGTAGAGTTCCGGGTTTGAGGGATTCCGGCCAACAGAAATTACTGTACATCCCTATTTTCCTCAAGTTTAAGAATTCACTTTAAGCGATTTCAAGTTAGCAACAGAGGTAGCCATGAATTTGTAATTTGTGAGTTATCTCGTTTAGCGTTAATTCGGTTTAGCAATAAAAAACTTTTGATATCATTTCTCACTTAACGTTCGGTCAAAATTCGGTTTAGCGACAGCTTGACTCACTGGGAAGAGGAAAAACTGGGGAGGAGGTGGCCTATGAGAAGGCATGCTGCTATTGTTGCATGTAATGAAATAATCATAGAATAATCATTACAATACGTACTACTCTGGGTGACTGCCCGGCTGAAGTACTGTATAGCGTCACCCAGAGGAGGGTTTGAGTGTGGACGGAGAAATTTTTTGTACCGTACATAAAATATGTTCTACTGTATTTTATGATACACTATGTTTCAATTTTATTGTTTATCGTAGCAATTTTTTTTAATTTGAATTTTTTTAGAATTATGTTCACCTTGTGCTCAATAAATCATTTAACTGTGAACCACATCATTTATAAGAAAATTTGGTGCTAATTAATTCAATTGTTTAACTTCAAAACTGTTTATAACCAACTTGTTTATTATTATTACAGCACAATATTTGGGAGACTGTACTCTATGTTTACCGCCCTGCCGTTTGAACCTGTTGTTTGCCCTCCATGCTTTGTTGTTATCCCACATTTTGCGATAATTTCGTTTAACGTTAGGTTTTTCAGGAAGGCAACCCCATCATAACTGTATTGTACAGTACTGTATTACTAAATGTACTCACCTCGAACCCTATTCCAAAGCTCTCCAACAAACTTCTCTATTTCATCATCTACCGGAATTTCTTCCTGAAGTTCTGCCAGCACATGTATCTTACTGGGCAGTCGTTGAGTTATCCGTATAAGGTACTCGGACACAGTTGAGTCACTCATGCCCATAACATCTTGGAGCCGGTGGTTGACCCATGACTTGAGGCCATCCCCCATCCTGATGGTCTAGAAGTTAAGAGAATAATATTAGTGTGTGTAGTATACTGTAATCACTTCATTATTTTCTACATACTGTACTAGCAATTCCAAAAATGTACTGATAAATGTTGTATAGTACATGTACTGTATTGATATACTAAGCTCCAATTCACGCCCAAGGGTCAAGAAAAATAATCTGAAGGATTTACAACACAGTAAAAACCTATGACTGAGCTGCCAATGTTATGACACATTATTCACATGAATGACACTAGTGATGTAAACAGCTCCTTGCCTAATGCACCAGGAACATTATAAAGCAATAAAGAGCATATAATGAAGCAGTGGTTGCCCTAAAAAAAAAACAGTGAGGAATTAGTCAGGTGTAGAACTCTCAACAATCTTAAACCTCATAAGACCCCAAGCCAGTGATGGACAAACTAAGTTACTGTAGTTAATGGGTCGCATCAGTGATCCTCTCTCATCTTAGTGGGCTGCATCCATAAAAATTTAATTATAACCTAAAGCCAAAAGCCAGAATATACTGTACGTATATTGTATCAATAAATTTGCAATATTTTATTACATCTAGAACTTGGATGCATGACTCATCACCTCCCCTATTGCCACATTCAAAAAAATAAAAATTGTAAATGTGTTGGATAATTTCAATCATATATTATTGGCAGTGGATATTTTGCCGTGACCGACTAAATTCCTACTGATGCTATTTTACTGTGAGTGCGCTCTGGTTGGCTAATCATCCGTTACCAGCAAACAGCATGAGAACTATATTTTACCGTGACTGGCAGCATGTGGCATTTATCTCGCATTGAGTCGATCGTTGTGTAGCTGTAAACATTCCTAACCATATTTCTGTTGTGCATGAAAACTTATCATTATACAAGAGGCGACATTTACTAGAACCTAATAGAACCTGACCTAACCCACCCCAAAAAACTACCTAACCTTACCTAATTTCCTAGTCGAGGGCTAGACCCCCGTCATATTAAATAGAAAGTACTTAGCCAATCAGATCACATTCACGGTAAAATAGCATTAGTCAGAACTTAGCCGGTCACAGTAAAATATCCACGACATACGTTATTTAAATAAAAAACATAATTTATAAGTTATGTTAGTAGCAATGAAGGTAATTCAAAATGTAGAAAACGTTTAATAATGAAAAATAAAGGTAAATTTTCACTAATGCACCGGTCTTTGTTTGGATATTAAAAACATGTTTTTCCGATGTTATTTGATGAGTTTTGAACGAATTTGATATTCATTTCAGTGGGAAATCAATAGTTTTTGAGATTCCCCCCCTCACCCTACCCATCAATTTTAAAGATTTTTTTCTCGAGTAAATCACATAAATAAAAAGCCAACAAAACCAAACTTAACCTAACATGACCTGACCTGACCTGACATGACCTAACCTAACCTAACACTTTTTCTGTTGAAACTCTGCAATTGACGTAAAATAATCTCCATCACAATGTCAGCATAGCTCTTTCCACCTGTTCAGTCATATCTGGTTATTCTGGTACAGAAAAATCAAATCTCCGCTCCCGACACACCCACGCATTGTTCATTGGCTAAGACAAAAAAAATCTTACCCAAATGTAAGTCTCTTATCGCTATTACCAATAAGAATCTCCCACACCATCCTCCACACATGCACTGTAGACACCAAAATGGGGCGGCAGATTAATTCAGGGCGATTTAAATAAACTGCAGGAGTGGTCAGAAAAATGGCAAATGATACTCAACACCAGTAAGTGCAGAGTACTTAATATTGGAAGAACAAATACAGTCGGCCCTTAACATACGCGGGTTTAGCATATACGGATTTGCAAATACGCGGATTGCCCCGCCGGAGGAATATTCTGTACATTGAAGTAATTGAAGTACATTCATATCGTGCGCCATTCAACTAGTACGCGGCACTGAACACGGGACACCGCCCGGTCCCGCAACCTCACACACACACACGCATAGCTCTCCCTCACTCAGTCAGTCTCGCTGTAACCACGCTTGTGTTGACATCAGCATTGTAGTTGCAAAAATATTACATTTCCGTGAATGTATTATATCAAGCACAGTATGAATAGAATATCACTAATATAAGAGTATTTTAACCGAAAACTACTAAAAAAACGAGTAACATATCTTGAACATCGGAAGGTTCGGTAAAGTCTTTTGTTTTCATGTAGTTTATCCTAATTTACATTGAAATGCATTACGTTTCAGCAAAACTACTATTTATTTCTGAGAATATGGAAATGTAATATTTTGCTGAAATGACATACGTATTACGGTGGAAAGTGACGAAAGCAATGACTTTCGCTTTCTTTTGTTCAAAAGATGTTACCGTAATCGCTTTTTGAATGGTTTTCAGTTAAAAACTGCTGTATTACAATAATATTCTATCCTAATTCACTTGTGATGCAACAGTTTTTTTAACTGAAAACCATTCGAAAAGCGATTACGGTAACATCTTTTGAACGAAAGAAAGCGAAAGTCATTGTTTTCGTCACGATTTTATCCCACTTTCCACTAATACGTACGTCATTTCAGCAAAAATATTACATTTCCGTGAATGTAGTATATCAAGCACAGTATGAATAGAATATCATTGTAATATAACAGTATTTTAACAGAAAACTATTAAAAAAACGAGTAACATCTCTTGAACATCGGAAGGTTAGGTAAAGTCTTTTGTTTTCGTCATGTATTTTATCCTATTTTACATTGAAATACATCACGTTTCAGCAAAACTACTATTTATTTCTGAGAATATATTCATTCAGGCACAGTTTAGGTAAAATATACATGTGCTGTAACATTTTTTTAATTGAAAACGATTCGAAAAACACGTACCCTCTAGCCCTGTTCAAGGAGAAGACTGGGAGGAGCTGTTTGGTGCTTAAGACGATGACAAGGAAAATGATTTTGATGGATTTTAATGAAAATATTCAGAAAGACCCTGGCAATGTCAAGGAAAGTGGCTGCTGAAGGCTTCCAGGACATGGCAGAGGACGAGATTAGGGAGCTAATTGAAGAGCACGACACTGAGCTGACCGAGGAGGATCTACAGGAGTTAGTAGACTAGGGCAAGGAAGAGGAAGAGGAAGCGAAAGGGAAAGAGGATGAGGAAGAGGAAGAGCACTAAGAAATAATGTTGGAGAAGTTGGGGGAGATGACCAGGAATATTGAGGGCACTGAAAATCCTGGCCTATAGTATGGACCCCTCCATGGTGCGTGCCCTGAAATTCATGCGAGGGATGGATGACGTTTTTGCTCCATACAAAAACATCATGGAAGAAATGAAAAGAAAGAGATGACAACTCCCCATCACCATGTTCTTTGATCACCGAAGGAGAGATTTAACACCATCAATCACTGGTGGCAGTGAGGAAGCAGCTGAATCCACCGTCGCCCCCACTTCACCACCCGTTATGGAATTGAGTGACCATGAGCCCGAAGACCCCCGTCCTGTCGCCGAGGATAGGTACGGTACAGTAAAGTGAAATTTTTATCTCTTTTTTTTAATAGCTTTTTTTGCCATGTATATTGTTTGTAAAAATGCACAGCACAGTACAGTTCAGTACTGTACATAGGAAGTGGAGGTGCAGTTATTCACAAAACATTTGTGTTTGTTGTCGGCAGTAGTGACGGTGAGGAGGAGGCAGAGGAGGGAGCGGAGGGAGCGAGTTGGGAGGAGTGGTGACCTTGGACGCGGGAGCAGGGACGGGTGGAGATGCCAGCCAGTACATTATGGGTGTATTAATTGTTTTTATAGCTATTTTTGCATTTTAATATTAAATACTGTACATTACGTTTCAACAAAACTACAATTTATTTCTGAGAACATGGAAATGTAATATTTTTGCTGAAATGATGTACGTATTACAGTGGAAAGTGGGATAAAATTGTGACGAAAGCAATGACTTTCTCTTTCTTTCGTTCAAAAGATGTTACAGTAATCGCTTTTCGAATGGTTTTCAGTTGTGGGATTATAAGGCTAATGATAGGATAGAATATTATTGTAATACAGTACGAGTACAACAGTTTTTTAACTGAAAACCATTCGAAAAGCGATTACGGTAAAATCTTTTGAATAACGAAAGAAAGCGAAAGTCATTGTTTTCGTCATGATTTTATCCCACTTTCCACTGTAATATGTACGTCATTCCAGCAAAAATATTATATTTCCATATTTATTTCTGAGAATACGTATATTCATTCAGTCACAGTTAAGGTAAAATATACTTGTGATGTAATATTTTAATGAAAATACGGTATCGTAGTTTTCTTTTGTTTCAAATTTAATTAACAAAGATTGATGTTTCAAATGTAATGAACAAAAATTTATGTACAGTATCAATAAATAAACTTTAATAAATGAATACTTTATGTTTTACATCGTCCTGTGCTACCATACCATGGATTTGGCTACTTTGGGCTTGCTATGATGACGCAAGAGATCTGCCCTGGCAACTATACCGACACTCACAGCTGGTGGTGCGTTGGTGCATCGTTTCCATTGTTTACTGGTAGTTACTGGTAAATATTTTTCAACCAAACGAAACTATTACCTGTTTAGAGGTCGACCTCCAATTTTTTGCCAAATAATTTGGTCTTAAAAACTCGAACTACACACAGGTATATATGGTAAATAAGGACATGGGGGCCAGGTTTTTTGGGGCAGCATAAATATGCGGATTTTTAACATCCACGGGTATCTCTGTTACGTAACCCCCGCGTATGTTAAGGGCCGACTGTACTGTCAATGTATACAGCCTTAATAACATCAACCTAGAGAAGTCGACTTGTGAAAGAGACTTAGGGGTACTTGTAAGCCCGGACCTTCGGCCTAGAAAAAAGTGCATTAATGTTCGAAATAAGGCAAACAGAGTATTAGGTTTTATTATCTGTAAGTGTAAGTAATAAGAGTGCGGAGGTTATATTGCAATTATATCTTGCGCTAGTCAGGCTGCATCTCGATTATGCTATTCAATTCTGGTGCCCTTATTATAGAATGGATATCAATTCACTGGAGTCGGTGCAGCGAAGAATGACGAAAATGATTCCGGGATTTAGAAACCTTTCCTATCAAGATAGATTAAAGAAACTAAACTTGCATTCCCTAGAAAGACGAAGAGTGCAGGGAAATATGATAGAAGTATTTAAGTGGGTGAAAGGAATCAATAAAGGAGATATAGTATAGGTAAAGTCCTTATAATATCCGAGCAGGATAGGACTCGTAGCAACGGATTTAAGTTGGATAAGTTTAGGTTTAGGAGGGAGATAGGAAGGAACTGGTTCACAAATAGGGTGGTAGACGAATGGAACAAGCTTAGCAACGTTGTAGTAAGTGCTGGGACACTGGAAAATTTTAAAAGGAGGCTAGATAGATTCATGGACGATAGAGAGTGGTTGTAACTCTCAACAGGAGCTGCCATGCACAGGCCAACAGGCCTATTGCAGACTCCTTATTTTTTTATGTTCTTATGTTAAGAAGCCAACACAGAGGTAAGGAGCACTGTGTGATGGGTGGTCAGACCTTCTCTGTGAGACGTAAACAACAAATGGCGAAACTTGTGAATGACCAAATCTAATATTGAAAAATTAATATCTTGGTTATCCTTAATTTCCGGCGGAATATCACAGAAGAAAGGGGTCTTAGAATTTCCTACACATTACGAAAAACATATTAATAACAGCGAGAAAAAGACTGGTGCATGATTGAAATTTCAACAAAATAAATATTTAATATTGGGTTCCTGTGCCAAGTGCACCCATTTTCTGTTATACTTACGTACTCATGGACAGCATCCACAGAAATCTACCTAACTTACCCTCCTAACCAGGGCGGCTCCTCCCCCATGGATCCCCCGGCATATATAAGTAATTTTCGGGGAAAACGTCATAGAAGAAGTCTCTTATAATTGTCTAAACCATCGGAAAAACACTACTCAACTAGAGTCGTGGTTAGTCGAAACTATAAATTTACCGCTTCAGTAGTAGACCTCTTCCGAATCTTTACTCTATACTGTTCTAGATAATTACCTCAGCCTTATACCAAAGCTTAAAACAAAAGTATGACTTACCTATCAGTGTAATAGTTACTATACCAGAGACAGTTGCCCGACACAACACTCAGACGACCGTAAAGGTAAACAAACTCAACTGACTTCGGAATTTGGTGTTGACTTCAGCTTCAATTTATAGATTTAAGCGAACTTTACTTTAAGCGTGATAATCTAAATTTCGAGGAAATTATATCAGAAATATTTTTCTTTATAAATGAATATTTTCAAAACCATTAATGCATATCCCAAACAAGTAGTAGATCTGCTCTAAAAAGTCCATAAAAAATACGAACAATGGATGAATTCGTTGCTTTTAAGGGGTGACTTTTACAAACATTTAAGTATGTTACGTAGACGTCAGGTTTTATTATTCATTTACTTGGTTGATAGTAATTGTCTTTAAATTAGGCAGGCTAGTACTACTACTACTGTATTATTGTATGTATTTTGTCCTGCCAAATGTTCTTCTAGTTGTCTCTCGAAGATTAACACGTTTGGGACGTAATGTTAACACCTGTTAAGCTCTTCACGTCATGGGAGTAAGGAACAGGTAATTTATGAGGAAACCGCTGCCACCAGAAGTAGTTCCATTTCATTCATTATTTCTACAGATGTACTTATCATTATAGTAATTATTTTACTGTAAGGGGCTACAATGACTGATATGGAGGACTTCACAGCCGACTTGGTAAAGTATTTTGATGCTCAGTGGCGGCTCGTGCAGTCCCCCCCAGACACTCACTGCCAGGCGTATGATTCCTTTAGAGAGACAGCTGAATAATACACTACCAACAAATATATCATTTTATATGTTATTTAATTATTTTCAATACGTTGCTAAGTGAATTTTCATTAAAATCAGACCAAAATTTAAGTTACTTTCATAGTTGCTGTCAATGCTGTACGATTCATGTCTGTTATTAATTGGCCGCCGCCGCCGCACTTGAAGCAGCTCAGTCTCGTGTTTACATTGCGTGTGGACGGTGTGGTTAAATCGTGCTTTCTTTAATTACCCTTTGACGATGGAAAATCGAGTGAAGTATTTGCAAAACATCAACTTTTCCCAGCTGACATTAAATGAAAAGACTGAAATCAAAGCAAGAGGAAGACCTACACCAGTTTTATCCATTCAACAGAACAGTACAAGCAGTGATATCCATTGAAAATAAAATGATAACAGAAATAAAGGATTTTAATGAAATAGTAATAAACAATTTTGCTACATCGAAGAGCAGACACGCCGACTTTATTTTCAATTAATACTGGTCCATCACCACCAACACTACTACCATGCCCTGGGAATTCGTGGACATCAACTACAACTCATACCTGAGGTAGGTCAAATTTGTGTATCCTACTGTTGTGTGAGGCTTGCAGTCCCTCCATTTTATTTTTCACGAGCCGCCACTGTTGATGCTTATATTCTTTCAATGTTTTTATCAGCGAGTTCTGATAAAATAACATTTTTGGTTAATATTACAGTAAACAGCAACCACAGAATTTCGAAAATTCACCACTCAATCGATAGAACTATTTTTTTATCATTATATTCTTATATTACATCTGGCTAGGTTAGGTTGTAGCGTACTGTATGTGGCCAGTTGTCAAGTTCTCTTTGTATGGGCTCTCATACATTCGTACATGTAATATATCTGACACTCAGGATGGAGGTAAGAATAGAAACTCACAATGCGTTTTCTGTATATATATTGTATGTTCAGTGCAGTGCTGAGGAGTTGCTGTGTGGTGAGGAGCTTGCTCAGAGGTCCTGTTGGGTGAGGAGCTGGTTGGTGAGGAGCTTGTTGGGAGGTCTTGCTGGTGCTGGAGAGTAGAGTAGAATGAGCTCCGCAGCCAGACCTACGCGTATTTATATGGCTGGCCAGGATCAGGGAAGTGAGGTGTGAAATGTGCGGCGCCAATCACCGTGCAGTTCCCGAGAGACCTGGTTTGCTGAACTTGTCGCTGCTTGGCTGGTAGGCGGACGGTTAGAAATCAGTCAGCAGTAGTACTCCTGCATCCGCACCCGAGACCTGGTCTGTGGATGTCGCTGGGGCTTCTCCTACCTGTAAGCTGATTGGCTGGTAAGCAGACGGCAGGTGATCAGTCGGCAGTTGTAGGGGAGAGTATCCACTACAAGGTAACACATTTTTGTTATCATTGTTTGGTTGCACGATTATATTTAATTTTTATGAAAATTGCATCATTTGGTAGGTAATTTGGCAACTAGGCATGCACTACTTTGTCTTTCTTGGCGGCATACATTAGTAAATTTTTTCTCTTCTATTTTAAATTTCTTTTTACTCTGTTCCCCAGACCCCGTTGTGGGCCGATGACTTGTGCCCAGGTGGGCTATTCCCCGTAAAAAAAAAGAGAGAAAAAAGACAACCCAGATTTTTATTAGTACTGTATTTATGGTAAATAATTAATTTCTACGTGTACAATGCATGTAGACATCATTTTAGTGACAGGTTTTAAAAGATTCTTACACTTCCATGTTGTAAAAAAATATCTAAATTTTTACCTTCATTATAATTATCCTCTTTATAAGGATTTTTTTTTTAATCTAAAATCATATATTTGGCAAGGTGACCCCCGAGAAGCTGGGGATGACATCATGTAAAATGTGCGTCGATGTCATGTTTCAGACTTGATACCTAACCAAATAATAACCCATATTTATAATTTATTACACTTGATTTTTATTCTATTACATTTTTATTTGTTACAGCTATCAGCAGCATATAAAATGACTTAAAATAATATACATTTGTTTGGGAGATATTAGTGATTAATTCCTCTGTGCATTACAACACTTGCATCATCCAAGTTCAGCTAAATTTCTGTACAGTTTCTTGTATGAGGATAATGATAAGTCATAATTAATGCATATAATAAATTATTCAACAAAAGGTTCATTACTCAGATCAACAGTTGTTAACTCCTGGGGCTTGAGGATACGAAGTTTTGGTGATTCAGGAGTTTCTTTTTTAATTGATTTTGTTCATTCATAACTTAATATCAAGCCACTGTGTTTACCCAGGTTTGAAGTTCAATAGATTGATAGATGGGAAGATAAATGCATAAACAGATAGATGTATAGACAGATAAGTAAATATATAGATAACTAGATATATAGGTAGATAAATAGATAAGAAAAATCTTCATAAATGTTTACGCTGTTCAGCATGTACAGTTTATAGAGGTGTCTCGTAAGTCACTAAAATTCTGAAGACTGTGTACTGTAGTATACCTGTACTGTATTTACGGCTGATAGGTTTAAATAAAAAAAAAATTTACTTATACATTTATGTCATCATACTAGACAATTCAATACAAAACAATTTCCAGTGTTCATAAATGAGGTTTGCAATTCATGTCATAAGTTATAACTTTTGCACATTGTAAACAGACTTGTTCATTACATACCAAACTGAAATGTTCCACTTACACAATATACAAAAATCTAACCAAGGTCTAGGTCAGTGCTTATGTTTACTTATTGGCTGGCTATTCAATTCATCTTTTCTTGTTGATACTGTCTGGAGAAACAACCTTAGATATAAATACTGCATCATTTTTCCATCTTGGCTGCCAAAAAATCACTATTTCTTTCGACTTAAGTAGATGATAGTTTAATACACCACTTCCATTTACCTTTTTTTTCATATAAATTTTATAACTACAGGTATAACGACAAATTTTAATTGATCTTCTTATGTTGACATTTTACAAGTTCATTGGCTGAAGTGTGTAATTCTTGTGTTCAGGGGCAGCTATCCCAGTGAACTCCAGTGGTGATATCATTCAGGACTGGCCAGGTGGTCCAGAAGTAGATTCCCTAGTCTGACTCATAATATGTACAAGAGAAGCCAAACTAGGTAGAGGCTCATTTTTGTATAAATAGTCAAAATTTCACTTACCTAACAATACTGTTACCATTCACCTGAAATAAGAAAAAACTATTATGAAGTGTTTGCACAAAATATTTCAGCTGTACAGAAATGGAAAGAACAACAGTATTAATACTCTGGGCTACTACTTACATGTTTCACAAAGAACTACTGTACCACTTGGGCCACTTCATACAGTTCCCCAAAAATTAAGTTATAAATTTAATTTTTACATTTGTCTCTCTCTCCAGTTTAGATGTTCGGTGGATGTAGGTGAGTACTATTTTGTTTTCTCTACATAACATTCTTATCTTTGTATTTTTCTGTCAGTATCTTTATCTTGTATGTAATTTTGCCTTCTCTTATATTTTTTTCTGAACAGTGTTTACTTTTTCCAATAGCCAATAATTTAAGTGATCTATCCCATTATTACTATATGTACTCTAGTCTATTCATTCAGTCCTTGCAACTAAGGCCTAGGGTCATTTGTAGTAAGGCAGCGGATTGCAGTATTTTCGTTACTTAAGACAATTGATAACGATATTGGTAACAGCATTACTTTTGTGGACAATTCCAATCATTACTTGTTACTTTTATATTTGAATAAATAAAAGTATATCAACAGTGGAAAAAATACACACGAATAGCTAAATACAGTGGCCACCAAGTTCTGCTACCATCACACTGTTGAGCCCTGTGGCACTTGTGCGGCAGTGTTGCCGTTAATGGAATTTTTTGGAGGCGTGGCGTGGAAATGTCGGACGTCTTTCCACGTCACTGTTGAATATTTTCCGCACTTTACAGTTATGAAACTTTTTATATTAAAATGTAATATGTTATAGTCTCTCCTCGACTTACGACTGGGTTCCGTCCCGACGGCCAGGTCGCAAGTCGAAAATAATACATAGAAATTCTAAAATGGGTGTCTCTTTTTCTTCTCAGCACCAAAAAACTCTCACTTTTACGCTTGCCAGCCATTTTAAAGGGAATTACAAACGAGAATTACGTAATGTGAAAAATATTTTATACGACCTGGCCGTTGTATGTCCGGGTTGTCGTAAGTCGAGGAGAGACTGTATTACATTGATGGAAGATGAACAGAAATAAAGGAATTCACATTTGTATTGTTTTATTAAATTATTGAACCAATTAAAATTGACTAAACTTTGCTTGTCCAATTGCTAGTACTGTACTCTTACGAAATTTATTCAAGGCTCAATTATATTAATAGTTATAATTATGACCAATATTGTGTCCATAAAACGTAACAGTAATGGTAACTCGTTACTTTTTAAAATGTAAGAGCGTTACTTTTTCTACCCAGTATTGGTAAGGTAACACCTTTACTTTTAGAAAGTAACATGCACAACACTGCCCAGAAGGAAGAATTGTATGGTTACCTACAAAATTTGAATTGATCAAGTTATACCAAAAAATTATATTGCAATGGGGTTTATTTTGTTCAATCAGCTGACTAAGAAAAGGTGAAAACAAAGAGGCATTTTGCTACATAACTTCAACTACTTTTAAGCAGAAAATTAGTACATAACAATGCATAGGTGCCTAAATCTGTTCAAAATTAAGAAATACATGAAGGAATAAATAATTTATCACAAAACAGTTGTATTGTTTAATATGTAAATATATTAATGACTTTGGCAAGGACTTGCTGTTGATAGGTAATGCTGGCCTGCATGAGGTAATAAGGATACATATGATTTGGGGCCTTATGAAAAGGAGAATACCATAGTGACTCATATACGTAGTTTACAGTAGTATGGATAAATTAATAACAATGAATGTGAGGAGAAAATGTGTGTGTGTGTGAATGCTCATTCTTAGCCACCAGGAAATGGCTTGGAAAAAATTTAATCTCCAATATTCAACGTAACAAATAATTTGAGAACAAAATACGCAAGTGAGGTGTACTACAGTATAAAAAAAGAGAGTACTGTACAGTACAGTGATGTCCCCGTCAAACATGAATTATTGGATGCAGAGTGGTTCCGGGATTAAGAGATTTCCGGGTATGGAGACAAATTTTCTCATCCCCGGAACTTTTCTGGATACTGTACTGGGGAAAGTTTTCTGAGAATCTAAACATCTTGCATGAACAGACACAGAGCTGTATACAGTATATTTATGCAAACACCACTTTACATGTACAATATACTGTATTGTAAATAAACAAAATAATGTATACTACTACTGTACTCTTTATACACTCTCTACACACTAGCTACAGTTGGCATACACTATCCACTGCTATGTACAGTATGTACTGTACATAAGGTACTTCACACATACTGAATGTTAAGTATACAGTACATAACTGTAATCACTTTTTACGTTTTAACACTGCTTTAATGGTATTCTTGGCTGATTGTAAAATTATGCTGGTAAAGTAATGTACCTCGGCCAGATTGTAGGTTAGATCATGTCCCAGTAATGCATTTTGTGAGGTTAAACTTAAAAAATTAAAAAGAAAAACTGAACATAATCAAGTGGGATTTAGAGAAGCTGAAAACAGGGGCAGGGACAGAAAATTAAATTAAAACTGAAAATATACTTTCAGCATTCCTTGTGGGTAACTTTGATGAATAAGAACCAGGACAAAAATTTATTAATTACAAAGAAGTAATGCCAAAGAGTGGGGAAAAAATTATAGTTCATAGAACGAACAAGGCTAAAAGTGAGTGGATGACAAATGAAATTTTAAAGAAAATAGACATAGAAATATGAAAAAAATTTAACTTACAAAAAATTTAACAAAGAAATTAAAAGGATTGTAGATAGGCCAAGGAAGATATAGAAAGGACATGTAAGAAATTAGAGGATGATGACAAAAGGCATAACTTTTTTTTTTACAGGAAATAGCTCACCCGGGCACAGGTCATCGACCCACAAAGACTAAAAGAATGAACCAGAAAAAAGGAAAATAATGGGGTGAGACGATCAAAAGTAAAGATAAAACAATCCTGCTGAGACAGAAGTAAAAGAGAGATGGGGTGACTATGTAGAACTATACAATGATAAGGATAAAATAGAGGTAAGAAATGAAAATAAAATAAAAATTGAACTTCCAATTCTGTAATCAGAAGTTAAGGCAGCTGTGAGAAAAATGATAAAGCTTGTGGGATTGATCAGCTTCCAGCAGAATTTATAAAACAAATGGGCAAGAATAGGTTAAGGCAGGATTACACTGGCATTGTTTCTTTGATTTTTTTTTTAATTTTCAGAAAATAATTTTTTTTTTGTGCACCGTCACACATGCATTTAGAACCAACTCGCCAGTTTCCCTTGTTCAACAACTGCAACAAAAAAGATGGATCCAACTGACGAAGAAAACAGCAATTCTACGCCTTTTTTGGTGTATGAAAAATCCTGATGATCCTACAGACAGCGGCGATGCCTTATCTGGTCCACCAAGGAACTCCTGGGAGAGGCGTGTCCATACTTGGGAAATTATTTTATCTGTTGGCTCCGTCATGTTGTTATTCCCACGTAGTCAAAATGTGAACAACAAATGACATTTTCTTACCCTTTTAAAATCACAAAATTAAACCTAATACATGTAATGAGTAACGTTGGGAAGTAGAGTAATAATTACTTCATAATAATTTTAGCTTTATATTTTAAGTAAAAATTATTTTATTTTTTAGAACTACAGTATTTGTAGTATCAATTATAGCTGTTGAGATGACCCTGGTGAGTTGTCATACGAGTCGTTAGTGCAACAGTCTGCACCGTTTGTTAGACAAAAAGTCAACAACAACGTCGACGATTAGTGAAAAAGTTGACAATAGAAATGCTAGTGTGATGACACCTTTAAATTGTTTGACTAAAATTATGTAATTCTATATACTTCAAAGGAGACCTTCCCAGGAGCCTTAGTGAGTACCCAGTTTAGAACAATTGCCTGCAAAGTTTTATTGAACATAATTTTAAGTTGAATAAAAGGAACTAGAGAAGCAATATTTGGTTTGAGAATTATGAGTGGAAGGGGATTAGAGGTCCAAAGAAATTTGTATATCTGCTTTGTTGATTTTGAAAAAAAGCTTTTGAGAAGGTAAAACACAACAAACTTTTAGAGGTCTTCGAAAAATAGGCCTTAAGGAGCTCCAGGGATTGAAGATTCCAGTTAACGGAGATATTAATATAAAATGTGGATAATCTAGAAGTGAACGGTAGTGACAAAAGCAACTGTTACAAAGTGCATGTGGTTATTATGAGTGCTTGAAGAGAGGGTGATTATCATTATGGTGCCAGCAATATATAAACAAACTTAAACAATGAGTAAATAGATAAAGAAATAAAATTGGCAATGCTGATGCAGTATGTGAGTTAAGCAGAGATTGAAAAAATGAAATGAGTAAGTGACTGATAGGTGAGAAGACAATGTTAAAAAAAAAAAATCCTCCTCCTCCTCCTCTCATGTAAAACAGGTTATTATTATTAAATATAAACTTGTTTCTAAAGTACATACTGCACTGATATCTTAAATATTCACCTATGAACACTATGTTGGCAACTTTGTTCTTTTCCGAGCAATTGCATCTTCAACTGCCCGAAGCTGCTTCAAGAGTTCTTCTCGTCGGTTGGCTTGTGGTTTCTTTATTGGCTGTGACATAGCAACCACAGCTGGAGGACTTCTGGCTACAATCTAAAAGAAGACATAGATATATGTAATATATTTTGGGGGGCAATGACCTCTGTCTTTGAAGAAGTAGAAGAAAAATCATCATTCACTTTTGAGATGTAGCAGACTCCAACTCTCAGTAGGAAAACTTATCTCTATACAGTAGTTCCCTTGTGACAGTCTAAAAATGCTGATGAAACAGTAAAACCTTACCTTTGGTGGTGGAGGTTCAGCAGGGGGGCTCTCTGGTTTCCGTTTACGTATTAGTTTTCCTCCTGTGTCTGATTCACCGCCTGTAAAAATTCAAGGCAAATAAATACCCAGATTGTCAAGAGTGTAAAGCTTTTTCTATGTTTATTATACTGTATATTGTCAATGATCTTCACATAACAAACACATATTTTAACTACATCTGAGCTTCATCTATTATGCATATATGCAATTGAAAACTTTTCTTTTCTTGGGGCTTCTTGAAGGTCAACTACAGTACTGTGCAATTTGAAACAGCCAAGAATTTATTCAGTCAAACTTCAACAGAGGAAACTGTAAATGGACAAGTAACAACTACTGCCCTTGTCTCCTTTATAAAGTATACATTTAATAACAATGTGTTGTTTCTAACACTTCCATTTGGTTTTTTATAACATGATTCCCACGATAAACAAGTTTTAAATGCCCTCCCCCCTAAGTAGAATTAACCACTGATGTTTAATTTCAACTTATATGCACAAAGCCTTCTTAGTTTTAATCACTCGATATTCCTTCATATACGTCATTAATGCTTAAATCAATTAATCCCCTCAAATAAATATAATATCCATTAATTCTACTCTATACTACTGTACAAGTTTCCTTTTAAACACTTACTGTCATCCTCCTGTGGCAGTACAGGTTTGTCAAGACGCTTAAGGGCTGGTCCCTTGAGAGTCAACTTGATCTGTTGTTTTTGCCCGGAGAGCTGAAAATAAAGACTTGTGTAATAATCAGAGAAGCAGCTGTGGTGCAAAAATTAAACAGCTAGAGTATCTAACTGAGTAATCCAAGGGTGATTGTAGAGAAACCTACAGTTTTCCACTGTTCAGTGTGAAAACTCTTACATTACCCTGCTGCTCATCATCATCATGCTAACAAATGTACATGGTAAATGGTCAGATAATTGAATGGACAAGTATCTTGGATATCATTTTTCTTTTCCTCCCTCAGTTTCTGTAAACTAAAAACAAGCAAACATAGGCTCTCTCTTGTATATTATTTGTAAATCGAAACCCATTCCCCAATTATGTAACTGTATATTTTCAGCCTTCTGGCTGCTATGCTCTTTCAATAAACCGTTAATTATTATTATTATTTATGTCGTTCATTCACTCTTAATATTATACCATCTTCATAAACCACCTGATGCCAAGCTCTCCTATAATTTAGGTACACAGGTACACAGCTGCTTCCTGCATGTCCCTTCTCCTTGCTTCTAGTGTCCTTTACTCCATCCTTCCATCTCCTTCTTGGTCTTCCCCTCTCCTGTTAACCTCTGAGCATTGTCTTAATACACACAATCTTCCACACTATTCCATTAAACCATTAGGCAAAACTTCTCAACAACAAAAGATTCCTACCTTCATAGGATCCATAGCTTTGCTCTTGGCCTGTCCATATGATACAGTTCCCTGGGTCATCCTCCGCTTCTCACCTGGTGTGCAGTGTTAAGATTAAAATTAATATAAAGTGCCAAAACTAGTTCATTATTTAACTAAAGACACAAACAAAGCTACAAAACTTTCTGGTAACCATCACCTTGGTTACACATGTTTTTTGTATAACTTTATCATATACAGTGGTCCCTCGGTTAACGAACACAATTCGTTCCACAGTCGTTCGTTAACTGAATCTATTATTTCAATGGGATATTGGTAATTGGTTCCAACTCACAGAAAAAGTACATACAAAGTACTGTATACCGGTAATACAATTAACAAAACATTAAATATAAACTAAATACAGTACTGTACTGTACAGTATACTGTAGAATAATAAATAAAAAACAATAGATGCGGTGTGTATGTCGTATTCCCGGCAGCTTTGTTTACATATCAAACAGCTGATAGTAGAGGCAGTCGATGATGACATGCCATATTCTTTACAGAGTGCATTGGTTCTAATGCCTTCTTCATGTTTCATAATAATTTCTGCACTGTATATTATCAATATGTGAACTAAATTTCAGAATGACCAATAATTTTAATGTACGTAATAGATTCAGTTAACAAAATTTTTGGTTAACGAACTACTCTGTGGAACCAATTGCAAGAACTACCTTTTCTAATAGCATCACTTACTACAATAAAAACATTACCTCTTCTCCGACTCTCCAAACTGGAAGCTGAGCTACTACGAGAATAACTAGATCGAGATCTGGACCTGGAGACACTACGACCTCTGGACCGTGACCTTGATGTGGCAGAGCTTGACCTAGAGGCAGATCTTGATCTTGAGCGACTTGATGAAAATGTTCTACCAACTCTGGAAGTACAGTATTAAATTAAGTTAATTTTTCCCGTCAAGTAAGGCAGTGTGTATGGTTGACAGCAGGTGGTGGTCTTGAGGTGTATAATTACCTACAGTATGTGTGTGGAGGTAAGTTGTAAACCATAATGCAGTATGCACAATGATTAAAAAAAATAAACAACACAGTGGTAAGTGTGTGGGTGTGTGTGTGTGTAAGGAAGCATGCAGTGGCAGCCACCATCACTGCCAGATGTATGAGAATTTAGAAATTGACTGACATAACCAGTAACTCTGGAAATTAATGTTTTCTGAAGTTCTGCTTTTTGATTCCTTTCTTTGAATCAGTTACACTATAAAACTTCTATATATGGCCTTCAAATTATAGATACTTCTTCAAACTCCAATTGTTTGTAGTCTCACCGGCATCCATTTATTCACTGGTTACAGTAATTCTTATTTTGAATATACAATATTGTTTGGGAGCCATAGGTAACACAAGGGTACAGTTATATTCAGTAAAATTGGAGTAGTATAACAAAGAACTAACATCAATCTGGTTCAGATAACGGATGATCAGTGCTAAGTAATGGAATTTTGGTGTACAGTATTCATTTGTTTAGTTTATTTATAATACTGTATCTGCAATAAGTTTAAGTAAGCAAAAATCAGGTATAAAAAATAGCTAAATGTACAGATTATCCAATCCTTAAGCTACATTGACTTAGTTTTCTTGTGAACTGTAATGGTAACCAACACACACACACACACACATGCATGCATGAAGCTTGGTTGCAGTACGTATTGTACTTATTTCAAAACTGTTCAACTTTAACTGGATTTTCTAATGTATCACGCACGCACGCACACACACACACACACACACACACACACATATATATTCTGGAAAGATGAAGGAGTGGAGCTTAAAATGTTCACAGACTGCGACACAAGGACAAACAATTATACTCCCTATAATAAGTAAGATACTAAAACAAAAAATACTGAGGTACAATAGTTGATTAAAATGATACTTTTTAAGTCTGTGTTTTTACAAGGAAACCTGTCAGTAAAATTTTTTTTTTAGCAGGTCTACCGGTTTTGAGAGCTTAGGAGCCACGCTGGCCAAAGCAGCTTCCTTCCAAACTTTAACCTCTATTACAGTTCACTATATCAATTTTTCCTTAAATGAAATATGTGCAAAAGCATAAATCCTTGTCAATTATATTTACTATATTAGTTTCAAACACACTACAAATTGAGAAGACTCACAGAATGTTATTTATTTGTTTATAGAGTATCAAGACACAAGTTTTGTAAATACTGTACAGTAATCTCACCTCCCCCTTGGTCGTGAGCCAGACCGTGACCTGGACCTTGAATAACTCTGATTGCTATCTTTTCGTATACGACCAAATCTGTCAACCCTGGGAAAAGAAAAAAATATCACAAAAAAAAAACTCATGGAGATTAAATTAAAGTGACTATTGTAAAGACATTCACTGATGCATTGACTGAATCTGTCCAATGATCAGCATTTATGTACAGTACCTCTCCTTAATAACAAATACAACATAACCTTAGAATTAATTTATACATAAGAAAACCAGCACCTTTTAAAAATAATAAATGTACCGGTAGTGCAAAAAATCAACTTGGCACTCAAGAAGAGCAGACTACACACAGCTGTACTCTGGGTGTTCTGCCATCAGTAGCGGGTTGCTTCCCAGGTTTGATGTGAACAGTTCTCAGTGAGGTTCGTGTGTTGGCTTTGTGATTTTGTGAGCTTTTGCTATGTGAAAATGTTCAGTTAGTGGCCAGGATCAACAACACCATGAATTAAAAAAAGAAAAAAGAAAACAGGTATATTGAACTATTCCAGCAAATAAAGTATTTAACATTTAATTACCCTCTGTAATCACATCCAATCTTTCATATTAAACTAAAATTTTCATTTATTTCTACGAATGAAAATTTATCTTGAGATCCCATTCCATTATATAATCAGGGCTGAGCAACTGTCCTGTAATAGCTGTTAACACCACTAGGCTCACAAGTGTTCACTATAACAGTCACAGAATACCTGTACAAGTAGTTGAACCTTCCATGACACAGCTGGACTCCTCACTTCTAAAACAAAAAGGCTTCCCATGGAAATAAGTATTGTCATCCAAGATAGAAGGGTGACTTGACTATGACTGTTTGATTATAAAAATATGGGACAGATCCTAAAATTCTATTGTCTAGTGAAGCCTGTAGTCATATTGCTCTCATAATACATGATGTTGATGGCAGCATTAGGATATACCTTCTGTTCCCCATAACACATGACAAGTGATGTGCCAATCCCTTTGGGTATACCAATCATCCTTCCCACACTATCACATAGCAGTAACCATTTTTTCTGGGACAGGGGGCTCGAAGTAACAGTTGTTCCTGAAAGCTGAGAGGTTTAAAGCCTTCTAAATCAGCTCACTTTAAGCAAAGGCAAATCAATATGTCACTCATATTTAATTTCCTGATGACTAATCCACTCAGCCTAAGCCTACTGATTCTTGTACAGTGATCCCTCGGTTAACAAGATTTCGATTAACGAATTACCTTCCATAAGATTCTTAACTTCGGTTAACGAGCAATCCCTCGATTAACGAATTTCTTACGAGCGCCCCTCCGCATGTTTTCGCTTGCATTTGGTGGCCCACCAGATGTAGTATTAGTCCGCCAATACAGTAATCGGTTCTAGGGCTTAAATTCCTTACTATTTAAGTAAATATCAAGAAGTTTGTACTATTCAATAATTTTAAAAGTTTTATATTAATTTTTTTAGTCATTTTAACAATTATTGAACATAATTGAGGTATAGGAAGCTAGTTTTTTGCGCGCTAAACAGCCTGTCAACACACCAAACAGGCGTCAGTCTCTGTGTCTTTTCAGTGGAGGAAACATCTTGCTTCAGACTCTCTTCAACATAAATGCTTTTTTTCTCTGTTTCCAAGCAAATTATTGGTCATTTTGAAATTTATTTTACATATTGACAAAATATAATGCAGTGCAGTGTTGATTTAAAGAAAATAATCTTGAATTACACCAAGTGAACTAAAACTTTATGGGTGAAATGGCGCCATGGGGTGACTTCTCTTCCACCCCAATGCCTTCTCTTCTCCCCCACCCCCATTCTAATTCCCATCATCATCATCATCATCCAGGAGCCTTCTACATACACACCTCAAAGTAAGTGTACTTTACTGCATTTATTTTTAGTTTGTATGCAATTTTCGGTGAACTGGAACCAATTACCCAAAAACCCATTGAAACAATGGTTTCGGTTAACGAGCAACCTTCTGGAACGAATTGTGCTCGTTAACCGAGGGACCACTGTAATATTATACAAAAGTTAGTGAGACAAAGAGGGAGATGAAGGTACTACAAAAAACTCCAAGAATTAGGCAGACATACTAAGCTACCTAACATGACTGGGAAGTTTTGCTTCCCATCTTCATATCCATACAGTTGTGCTGAGTCATCCTGGGATTTTTGGAGAGAGGAACCCCAATAAAATAAAAAAGCAAAAAAGCAAAATGTTCTAAGTGTTGTTTTTAACTATTAATCTATATTCACAGCATCAAAAAATTTAAAGCCAAGACAGATTCATTTTGCTTACTGAGGTGATATGAATGAAACTATCTTCTTACTTATGGACCAAGCACAGTACATATTGTACTACATAGTAAGGAACAAAACATGAAATCCTAATTCTCTAAATAAGAATACACACTAGGTTTCCAAAACACACTAGTATAGAGTATTAAAATATACTGGTAGAGGATTCACTGTTAGCATCAGAGGAGAGCCCCGTCAAAGGATTCTATGACCCCCTAGTAAGTCGCCCCTTTACAGGAGCCACCTGGCTGAATGGCAGTCAAAAAAAAAGAGTAGTCATCATGTATGAACTATTAGCAGCAATATTATTATACGTACTATATAAATGTCAACAAGTAGAAATGACCAAAAAGAACCTTTTGTTCGAGAAAAAAATAAAATAATTAGTTTAGGCTAGCATCCCCAAATAAATTACAAAATATTAAACTTGTTCCTCAACACACCTTTCCCTTCCAGGAATCTTGGTTGGTTTAGATTCTTGTCTCGGTGGTGGAGAAGGTGGCGGTGGCCTGAGGAGAAATTTTTTTGTAGTAGTCAATTTATAGAGAAAATTCTGAAATACAAAATACAGTAATATCTCCGTTAGCCAGAATCCTTCAAACCCGGAATTGAAATTATCTCGTAAAGTCGTTCCCAAAGCCATAATTTTCCGGAAAATTATGGATTTGGGATCGATTTTCAGAGGGGCACATTTTCCGGAAAATTACAAGAAAATTTTCCCGATACCCGGAAAATTCCGGGGAAGGGGAATTTTCTTACGGGTTTGAGAGATGAAAATCAGGAGTATATATTTTGGAAATTATGAGAAAAATTTTCCGTTACCCGGAAAATTCCGGGGATAAGGGATATTTTTCCGGGTTCAGGAAATGATCTACAGCGGTCCCTCGGTTAACGAATTACCTTCCATAAGAATCTTCAATTGGGTTAACGAAAAAAAAATTTGATTAACGAAATCCTTTTGAAAATCGCATTTTGTTTTGAACATCAGCAGATAAGCTGTGGAGGTACTCAGCCAATTCAGTGATCTCTTCTGTGTTTACATTCAAACTAATCACTATCTGATAAGAATTCCAGCAATGCAAATTAAATTCACCCCAGTCACTTCTATTAAATTTTAAAAGCAAAAAACAAAAACTCAATCTAAAATTAAAAAAAAACTAACAATTAAATAATTCACATCACAGGCGCCAACTGTCAAACATGTCACTGTCACCCCTCCCTCCCCCCCCCCACCTTCCTGAGAAAAGTTTGGGTAAAAAGACTACGTTTACAGGTTTATAAATAAATAATACCTCAGACTAAAGTTAGGATAATATAATTTGCATTGCTGAAATCCTTGCAAGACAGGGAATATTTTGAATATAAACTTCATATATTTTGCACAAAAGATAAAATTTTTGCTCTCCCTAATAAAATTCTTAAATTAAATCTAAAATTTGTATGTCTATTGCAAATTTTAGCTTGTTTATATTCAAATTAATCACTATCTTATAAGAATTCCAGCAATGTAAATTATTTTCTGGCCAGGTAATTTCTATGAATTTTATGAGCTAAAAACAAATATCTTCAGTAAATAAACAAATTATACTTCATCAGACACTATCTGTCCATCAAAATACCCCACCTCCCACTCCCCCCTTTTCCCAGCTGCTGGCTCTCCTCCCTCCCTGAGAAATGTTTGGGTGAAAACACTAGGCTTTTAGGTTTAGTAATAAATAATACATCAAAAAATAGTTAGGATAATATGAATGACATTAATGGATTCCGTGTAAGACAGGGAATAGTTTGAATATAAAAGACATATATTTTGCACAAAAGATAAAATTTTTGCTCTCTCTAATAAAATTCTTAAATTAGATCTAAAATTTGTATGTCAAATGCAAATTTTAGCTTGTTTATATTCAAATTAATCACTATTTTATAAGAATTCCAGCAATGTAAATTATATTCTGGCTTTACTTTGTATGTACTTTTCTGTGAGCTAGAACCAATTACCCAATATCCCATTGAACCAATGGTTTCGGTTAACGAAATTTTCGGTTAACGAACGACCTTCTGGAACGAATTGTATTCGTTAACCGAGGGACCACTGTAATGGGCAAGTTCTGGAACTTCCGAGAAAATTTTTCAGTTACCCGGAAAATTCAGGGGACGAGGGATTTTTTTCTGGCTTTGAGAGTCGTCTCGTTACCCAGAAATCTCTCATTTCCAGAAGTGCTCTGCACCAATTGTTCTGGCTAATGGGGATATCACTGTATTAAACTTGTTCCCCAACACACCTTTCCCTTGCAGGAATCTTGGTTGGTTTAGATTCTTGTCTCGGTGGTGGAGAAGGAGGCGGTGGCCTGAGGAAAAAAAGTTTAGCAGTAGTCAATTTATAGAGAAAATTATGAAAGTACACCAAAGACAGACTACAATACTGTAACATTATAAATTTTTAATATAAAAACAAATCTTAATACAAACAGACCCACAATAGCGCTTATCATAATTGTCCAGATCCAAAAATCGAGATATATTTTCTGAAAACTGAAAAGTCTGAGGTAATACACCTTGCCTTTTCGAACATAAATGCTTCTGCCCGCCACATAATGTATAAATCCAAAACTTGTAAAAACTATAGAAATCTAACAGCTATAAAAACTAGTCAGGTCACCTAAGACTGTAAATACAACAAGCAATTAGTAACACTTTAATACACATGCCTGTGATCTGCATCATTTTCCTCTCAACAAAAATTAATCAGGTGTAGGAATTTGTACAGTATGTAATATCTTGGTGCAATTTTGGTCAACATTAAATTGTAATATTTTGTGATGTAGGGCTCACAAGCATTTATTAAAATTTTAAGATAAATTACCTTGACTTTTGACCCCTGCCTTCCAACAATTAACCCATTATATAATGCAGTAGATAAAAACTGCTACAATAAACCACCTGCAAAGAGATTTTTCAACAAAAAACTTATTTCAATGATCATAATTATGGCCTGAAAAATCTCCGAAGAACATACTGTACCCCCAAACTTACTACGGGCACAAATTATAAAAAATTTGCAAAATGTCCAATTCCCCGGACCAGTCAGAACATAAGCCTTCAGATATATAAATATAAAACAGTTTATTTAAAAAGAGTACATCTTTCACCAAAATTGGGGTCAACAGACTATCACCAACCATCACAGCATGTTGATATATTTTTGTTTGGAAAAAATGGAGGTGGATAAACTAGTTCATGATTAAATGACAAGGGAATTTTGCTACAAAAATCATACAAAGTAAATATCTTTGCTTAGAAACAAATACTGCACTGTACCTGGGAAAAATAGTGTTATTATAAAGTGTTCCATCTACTTATGTTACATTGTGGTGAAAAAATAAAAGCAAATAACTATTTACTTTAAGTGAGCTGTTTGCTCTTTCCACTTGTTTGAGGCATATTATTAAATATGATAATTTTTAAAACAAAACTGTTCCAACTTTCACACTGGAAATACCTGTACTATATATTTATACTGTGACAATACATGCCCCTTGGGCACCACAAGTGACTGTTGTCTTTACACATCTTTTCCCTGTACTGTTTTGTCCTATGCTTATGTAATTCTTAGTGTTGTAGTTAGTAAATAAACATTTTGTAAATTGATTACATTAAACCTGTATTACATCCAAGACCACAAAGAGCACACACACAAAAAAATGGGGAAATTTCCTTTGAGCCAACTAGTTTTCCCCCAATGAATTGACAAAAATCTTGAGCAAGTATGACTTAATCACAATGGGTGCAGGAACCTTTAATTTCACGCTCACACCACCCTTGATATAAAATTTATCTGCTTAATTCAGTCTTATTTGTTATCTCCCTCTACATCATCTGCACATATGAGCAACAACACACATGTAATACCACGATGTATACACAACTTATTCTCGATAATTTATATTCAGACTAATCAATTCGAAGATACACAATGCATGAAGCTTTCATTTATAAATATGCAAAACAAATACTGAGGACAAGGTCCTCTACAGCCAGACACTCAACACCACAGAGATGACTGCATCCTTCCGAATCAACAGCTACTGACAATTAGGATGCTCCACTCACCTCTCCCTTGCGGGAATCTTGGGTGGCTTAATGTCTGGTTGCTGGAGAGGCGGAGGAGGGGGTGGTCTGAGAAAAATAGATGAGTACTTTAAGGGTCAACGGTGGCCGGTGAGGTTAACCCACAATATTCACTCTTGCCAAGTAGTGACAAGAATGATGACATCCTATTTATTCACAAGGATACAGTAGCTGAACTAACTCGTGCAGAACTATCAAGAGCATATATAAACTTTGGTCAGGGAGGGGAAGAGAGACTGGAAGACAGGAGAAAGAATGAAGAAGAGCAGCCCCGATCACTCAAGCTGAATATGAGTCTATTTGGCAGTTCAACAAGTTAAAATATAGCAAAGATCCAGCCAAAAATTATATAACCATCAATTAATATATTTATTGTACTGTACATTGTTCTTCAGTTGAGGTGGCAATCACCCCCAGTTAATAAATTACATTATCAGCCAGTTCTGGGTTTTGACATAATGCCAACCCGGAAAATATCAAAGTAGCACCCACTCAAACACTGGACAACTCCAGAATCACTTAACTCTTTTGGGTAAGAAGTAAATACATTACCCCCTAAAATATATCTGGTACAGGTACTACTCTTCACCTGACCATATATAAATTTCTGGGACACAAAAATATAGACAGATTGCATAATGGTTCACATTTTACTTAAGGGATCATGAGAGGCTGATACAAACAAAGAGTGTATCATCATCATAAGTGTCATAACCCAAATTTCAAGTAAGAAAATTCCCAGACCTTTCAGTTACTGACAGGTTCAATGCTTACTCACAAACTTCTGAAACATGTCTTGAAGAATTATACATGTTAGCTTAGTAAATTTTGGCCTACTTGCAGGAAAAATAAAAATGTGCTTAATGGATGATGTATGCCTTAGTTGAGAAAGCAGTATGAAAGGGAGAGGCAGATAAAGCAAAAAAACAAGTTTAATAATGAAGAAACCATGAGACACAGAGAAGTGGTAATTCTTAAGAAAGCATAACGTAAGGAGCTAGTAGTCTCTCAATACACTCTTATTTAATGATTCCTTGGCCAATCAATGTCGACGGGTCTGCAGTCTTAAATAATGCAGACAACATTTACCACTACGAAATACTTATCATGACATCTGCTTTGTCTACTAATGGCTAGGACTCCCAGGTGGGGTATTTCACACTTTTCTAAAACATTACGGAGCAGATAAACGTACAATAAAACTCAACTATCTGCATTCTAGTACGACTTTTCTATTGTGAACACCATATTGATAAACATTTTAAATTCACAAACAAGAGACCAGATTGTAGAGTCCACAGTCGATGACCTTGACACTGGTTTGTGCACAGCTTGTGATTTAAGAAAACATAAGTAGAAACTAGAATAAAAAAAAAAATTGTGGTCACCAATGACACAAGGAAGTAAAAAAAAATCTAAGACACTAAATTACCACTCATTGAGAAAGGTATATTAGACTGGTTATAAGCAAGTGCGTGCAGTAGATCAGACTCTGAGTGGGGCCTTTGGTGGCTGTCTAGGCCAAGGTATTTCACCAAAGAGAAGCGTGAGTAGTCGTCTGGAGGGCAAGGTCACTTTAAGCTTCACCACAGAATAAGAAAGTTGTCCATGGCAGGTGAGACAGCATCTACCACTGTCTGAGCATTGAAAATGTATATGGCTTACTTCCATAAGATTCCCCAAAATAGTTTGTAGTTGGAGCAACTTATTATCGCCTGTGATAAGTCTTTGTTAGAATTTTAAATGAGTATTACAGTACGTCTGTATACCTCCTATATCATATTTTAACTCAGTACAACATTTGTTATTACCGGTACTAATTGTAGTAAAAATAAATCAAAACTAAGGAAGACTTGAATCTTAAGCATCTGTACAGTACATGATCAAGAAAGGAGATATGGATGGTAAAATTGTTACTGTTTATCTCACATTAAATATAAACTGAAACAATCACTGTTATTTCCTTTAAAGATATGCAGGACAGAGAGCTCCTGTATAAACACACTTACCGTACACATACAGTACTGTATTGGAGTTTAGTTCCCCAACAAAATTATGTAGCAAAGGAACACTCTCTTCTTACACAATATGGTGGGTTCACTAGGATGGTTTTAACATGTGTTTTAAGAGGGAGTGTGATATGTTAAGAGGAATACAGTACAGGAATAACAATAATCAGGTTCTTCTATTATATCATGGAGCAGCAAGACATAATGACACCAATCCTTAAACATTAAACTGAAACCAATGTCTTAACTGCAGCCAACGCCAACAGACACCGCTATTTCCCGCCGAGACATTTAAATACGTATGGTGATCCCGTGCTGTTTTAGACCAGCCACCACTGGTAAACAACCTGTTTCCCTCCAGAAGTCTTTCAAGTTGTTTCTAAGTAAGTTTGTAAGTAAGTTAGGAAAGTAGAAGTAAATTGTTACAAGCAATGTAAGTGAGATATCCCGAGGTAAAATAAATTAAGTAAGTATATTAAGAAAACACAACCCACTGACTTCCTTATGGAAACACTACTGTCTGCACCACCCAAATATCAGCCGCTGTTGACTGCCAACATCCAAACTTCACTTGGCAACAGCTGATCCCTGACCATTATTGTTTTTATAATGTAATTGTGCATGGAGAAAATCATCCACCAGATGAGTTGTTAAATAAGTAAAGACTTTTGTCCCACATAGTCTGTTATTCTGCATATGCTTGTCTCCAATTTTAAAGAAAATTTACTATTTTTGTAATTTGAAAATCCCAGTTTTATTGTTCATAAGCAGAGTAACCAATTTTTCAAGGACCGCAGTACTGTATAAGGGTTTAGTTGATAAACTGTCTCATAGCTGATATACAGTACATTTATTATCTTTCCTGTTGACCCAGAAATGGATTTGCAAAACTAGGCGATTCCTCTAAAATTTTAAGCCCATAGACTGTAATTTTCACATCTTCTCATCCTATAAATTAAGTTACCCAGTTAACTTTCACAATGAGTCAAACCAGTTACCTACAGTCATTTCAATTTGTGGATCAGTCTTTCCTGCCTGTGCTGGAGCATAAGCAAGAACTGCTTCTCAGTAAAACTTTAAACTACATTTATACCTTGGGTACTCAAGTAAAAGATAATGTGAAAAGCTGTACTTAAAATACAGTAAACATCCATTAAACCAGACTTCACTAACCAGGACCTGCAATCTGAATACTGTAAATTGGTCTATATCTGACCCTTCTGTACGTTATAGAAAAAAATTGATAATTCTGGAATATTCAGATTTATCACACAATTCTTCTGGTCTACTTGGTCAGTTCACACAAATGCCACAGGGTCTAATTGGACTCTACCCACGAAAAAAAAAATAAATCTAGAGTATTTCAATTAAGAATTAAAATAATCCAGTCTTATGAGTTGCCACAAGTGATCAAGATTGTTATACGTTTAGGTGGGCTGTGACTCAGCAGAGGATACTCAATGCCAACGCCAGTCCTTTGTTAAGTGATGTACAGCACACAACACAACCTACAGACTTATGCAGTGCTATTTCTGTGTTTCTTTTTGTGTGGTAATGTTTGTTACAAGGCAAAAAAAAAGGTGCATAAGCATACAAGCACTGTTGGTAAACCGAATTGTCACTTCACTCACTATACCTTGACCTTGAGTGGTGTTAAAAGGTTAGCTCATATAAATGTTGTTTTTGTAAATGAATGTCAAGTTATTGTTTTATTTTTTTATATTTAATGGAATACGGATGCTACAGGGTATGGCATATGTTTGTCAAATGCATGCAAATGTACTGTTAAAAATGGTCATAAATAAATTATTTCTTATACCATTGTAAATGCTTCTAGAAAACATGTAAATTTGCAAAACCCATACCCAGTTTACCCAAAATTATTCCAGTTTATTTACTGTAAATCTCAAACACTGCTTATAGTTCTCCACAAGATACAGTATATAAAATATGCCTAAAGGTACTGTATATTCTAGTGACAATGGAATCAGTACCACAGTGAAGAAAGAGTGAGTTGAATCAGAGCAGGTGCAGAGAGGTACCTGTGAATTAACTTTTTATGTATGATATCAAGCTTAGTGGTGAAAGTCATTAATGTGAGTACTGCACTAGTACGATTATAACTAATACAACTACTCAAGACACTCATTCTAATAAAAACAATAATAATAATAAAATTGAAGGATTGATCCTGAAATGCCATTGTATTGCCAGTGTTGAGGGTGAACCTCAACACTGATGATGGGAGATAAAAAAATTAGTTGACTTCTTGCCATCATACCCAGGTACCTATGAGGAGACCTGATGGAAGACCGTTACCATTTAAGGCTGAAGACTGAGGGTTCTGGTATCACACAAGCACATATGGTCTGTGACCCTCATTTAGCTCGGACTCAAATCTCCAATTCATGGGTCAATCCTTAGTTCCATCTTGTTGAAGTAATATCCACTGAGAGAAGGGAAGGTAATGATGTCACCCAAACCATATGCAGTTATAAATTGTGATTCCAGCATCATCCTTCACTGTGCCCAGGTGACTGAAACTGAGGGTTGACCCATGAAATATCAAAAAACTTTGTAACCGAGCCAAATGAGGAATTTGGACCCTTAAGTGGTAGCTGTTATGAACATCAGGTTTGTTTTTAGATGCCTGGATATGATGGGAATGACTAAACTAATTTCTGAATTAGATGACTAAATTAATTTCTGAATTAGTTTTAGTCACCCATGATGGGTTGTAACTTGGGGTCAACCCACAAACTTGACTGGCAAACCATGAACCCACTGAGCCAGGCATTAAGCTATAAATAGTCATAACATTACTCCTATTTTCATATATAGTATCAATTTCTGACAAACTTGATCACATGTAAAATCTTGTCTAAGTATTTATGTTGCTGACAATCTTAACATATTCCAGTATTCAACTGTCTTGGCACATGAACTATTTATAAGGAATTTTATATACAGTATTAAACAATTATCACTTGGCTGTGCAAAACATAACATGTGAAAATAATGCTGAATACTTAAAAACCATTAAATTAATTATTTCACAATGAAGGGAGGTGACACAAAAAGACACAAACACAAGTAACAACAGACGATGATCATGAACACCGTGCTTAATGTATGGGAATGTGCAGTTAAAGAAGGTGCTGTATCACAAATCACAAGGTGCTTTAGTTTAAATGTGGGGAAAACAAAAATTCCAAAGATTAAAGGTATATGGACACTCTCACTATATCCTTTTCTCACAGTGATTCTTCCATGGACCAAACCTAATGTGCCTATTTATCTATCTATATCCCCTATACTTGTGTCTATTTATCTATCTGTATCCCCTATACTGTACTATCTCATTATTCTACCTACAGGTGCTGTAATCTCCTCCAGTGTTTTAATCCTCAGATAACAGTACAGTATGTTCTCCTCCCCATGCATCCTCCTCTCAATGACACACTCCCTCACTCCTCCACATCCACCCTCCTCTATGACATAAACTCACCTCACTCTCTCCTCCATGCTCCTTCTCTCCCCAAAACAGAGCAACATTGTCTCATCCACATCTCCCTTTATCTTTATGCCTTATACACTAATCCTCTTGCCTCCCATCCCTTACACCAGATTCATAAGTTATCTTCACTGTCACTTTTCCATCCATCCTCCCAATACACCCAAACAAGACAAGAAATTCATTGTTTAATCTCTCAACACTACTTCCTTTATTCCTCACTCTTCATCCAAATCTTAAGAAAATTCTTTCCCAATTCTTTCTGTCTCCTTATCAGTCAAGTAAAACTCACCCAAATTTCATTCCCAAACATAAGGAAAGGTTAAATTATGCCTCAAATTGACTCGACTGAACTGCCACCTGTCGGCTCTTTGTAAGTCTTGATATCCCCAACATCCATTTCCCCCTCCTCACTAAAATTACTACTTAAACACTTGAAAGCTTGGAACCTCAATCATAAAGTTTCACAATTTGATTCTAGTTTCTCAAAATTCAGTCTTACTTTCATTACTAAATCCAACCTCAATTTTGTCAGTTTCTTTTACCCTTTTCTACAGTTTTTTCAACTCTTTTCTACAATTTCTTTAAACCATTTATATAGTTTCTTTCAACCTTTTATACAGCTTTTCATTCTTTTCTAATCATAATTGTCTGTCTCTACTGCCGCTAAAATCATCCTCACCTCCCCATTAATAAGTTCACTAATCAACCATGGTAAGCATCACACACCCATCTTACCCATCAACCTTTAATCCTTCATCTTAACCCAAAACCTAAACAAGTTCTGATGTATGTCTTATATTTTGAAGAAGCCATTCACTACTTCTGACAGCTTACAAACCAAATCACAACACTGTACCTGAAATATTCTGTAACCCTTAATACAAATAACACACATGTAAATAAATATAAATACTAAAGTTATGCATAAATTATCTGACCTATTTTTAAACTTAATAACATAGACAGAACAAGGTACACATGTGGAGTTCTATGAAGAAAAGAATAAAAACATGAGTCGTTTATCAAGGACAATAAAGCCAACTGTTCTATCTGTGATGTTTAGAAAGTTGGAAAATGAGTCAAATAATTTATGGGCACCCTCTATTATTACAAAACAGTTTCCATAAATAAGTGAAATAGTAATGATGATAAATAATATAAGGTTAGTGTTAAGTAAAAACAAGGAAAACAGGAGAGATCCACGCACCTCTCTCTAGTATCCCTTTTGTTAGGCCTGGGCTCAGGGCGGCGAGGAACAGATAAGCTGAAGGTGAAAGAGACAAAATATTCAGCTAAAATCTACAGGACCAAAATCCAGAGGAATATTAAGTCAGGAAATATAACATGGCTGAAATGGATAATTGAAGTAAACCCAAGAAGGTTAAGATTAATACAGCCCGGACCTGAATATATTGGGTTAATCCAAGAAAGATTAGGATACAGTATATCTATATTTAAAACATATGTTCATGCTCACCAAAGCAACACCCATTTCTCTGACATACATGATCTGGTGTTCTTCTTAATTCATGTACAGGAAATAAGCAAAAAAAAAGGCATGAAAGCACCAAAGTCCATTATTAAACAAAAGTAATGTTCTGTTAATGTGTAGATGACGACCTTCACCATAAATTGTAACAAGCGTAAATTTTTGTGAGTGTATAGTTGTGGAAATTAAAGTCTAACAAATATTTGCTTGGCATGTAAAAGTGGAGTTAATCATCATACTACCATGTTCAAGCAAGACACGGTAAAGAACAAAAAACAAAAGCACAAGTAAAGTATTTTAATCTTCAGAAAAACATTTCCAAATGATCCATGAAGTGAGTTATTCTCCCTATACAATCTTCCCCTACTCCACCCGGGTTCCCAAGTAACCATATACATTACAGCTAGACCCCGACTTACAACGGGGTTAGGGACCCAAATCCAGGTCGTAAGTCCGAATGGTCGTAAGTCCGACATTGATAAAAAATAAAAAAATAAAATAAACAAGAAATAAATTCAATTTTTTTTAAATAAAAAATCTACAATGAAATACAGTACAGTAAAAGTAATAAATAATGAGGAATGGATACAGTACAGTGAAAGTAATAAATAATGAGGAATGGATACAGTGTGACTGAGCACTTACCTTTAATGTAGTCAGCTGAATGCACATGGGGCCCCCATAATTTTCTAATTATACATGGAGACTACATTAACTGGAAACGTTTTGGTATAGAAAATGCGTGCGTCATTTGGAAGAAAAAAAAAAAAGGTCACAACTGCAGCGGTCGTAAGTCGGGGACTACCTGTATATATATATTTAGTCCTAAAGCATTCCATGATGTCTTCTTCCAATCTCTCTATCATTTCATCTCCCAAACTCTACACCTTCTGATTTATTATGTATAATGTGTTTCACAGTGTGCTCTGCTTCTTTTCTCTCTTCTCCAATGTACTTGACACATTCTCCTACAATCTTTTTTGCCCTTATACAGTATACTTCTCTTAATTTGTACATTTTCTCATATTACTCTACCAATTCCTGTTTCATCCACCTCAACCATATCTCTAAATGTCTGACTCACTCCATTTTTCTTTTTAACATTGACCTCTCCTTATCCACAACACTATTTACATGGCCCCCATTCTTGCATTACTTACTGTACGTATCTCCTTCCAGAACAGTTTGTCATTTTCACAGATTTCATTCATCCTTTTACTAAATCTTCATCCACTCTTACACTCCTGACAATTATTGAAGTTTAGAAAATAAATTGTTAAAGACTACATCTTTATGACAATTACATGAAATTCTGAAAGACAGATACACACACACATACAATAAAAAAATATTAAGATATGTGAGCTAGGAAACAAGAGACACACCTTATATAATAATTCAGTAATAATCTCTTCAGCAGTGTACTGTATATATAAAACACAATATACCCAACAGCTTACCCGGGGACATGATCCACAATTAGAGTATGTAATGATGAATAACCTGCATATAAAATGTTACAAAAACTTAATAAACCACAATGACCTGGCAAGACCAAAGGAGACATATAGTGCTTGATGGCAGGCCAATATTATCCTGGGGTATTGCTACTACTGATAAATATATTGTAATCTGACCACATCATGAATACATTTGAATCAATTAGTTGTCTTAAAGACTAGTGAAGATTCAGGCTTGAATCTGAGACTCAAGAATGCTCCTCCTATCCTAAGTCAGCCAAATTGGAAGTTCACCTCACCTATTGCTTGCCAGTTTAGAAATTTTCTCAAAAGAGAAAGGAGGAAATCCAGGTCATCTGCTAAACTTCTTGGACACATTAATGGATTTCATACTTTAATCATACAATAGTGGTCTATGTAACCTCACAGGTGATCTGCAAACCTGACTGCATCCCAAAACTATGCAAACCCCTAAAATAAGAAGTTACTATACTGTGCTTGTACAACACCGGACTAATTTTGTACTTCCGAATGTCATTTAAACATCTCAACTTAAAGATTCCAGAACAGGTTAAACTGATATTCCCTTTAGAAAAGTCAATATATAAGCAAAAACTATTGAAGTCTTTATTATAGCAATGTAATACTGTAGTGTGTGCACAAACTAGTGCATCAAGTTGCTGAATGTAAACAATGTTCACCACTTGATAACCAAATATCATAAAAAACTGCAAAGTTGTGTGGCTGAAACTAGAACAATGTTGTAAGTAGTATCACTCAAAGATCAAAACCTCTGTTGTGATCAACTTGGAATAAGGAGAGCATCCCCAAGTCTAAACTCTGACCTGGACTCCACACTAGTCTTTGAGACAACTACAGGTACCAATCATATGGATTCTTTCTGCAGGCAGGCTGTAATGCATTCACTTATTGTAACAACACATTGTCTTTTTGGATTATGTTCTTCTCGTGCCAAACATTGTCTCCTAGGTATTATAGGTACTGTCAAGGGGTACTTGGCAGTCAATCATCTCTTACAGGTTACTCACAATGATCTGTAAACATAAACATTTTCATCTATTTCCCGAACACTGAGGCTGATATCACTGCAGATATAAATTAAGTCACCTGACTGGCAAAATAAAAACAGATACAGGCTAAAGCAGATTGCAACTACAGCTCCTCCCTGACTTAAGACCTACTCGACTTACGACCTGCCTAAGTCGTACCCAAATTTTGTCAAATTACGTATTTTCGAGTCCCAACGTCAGTGATTGCGCTGTGTACTGACAAAATTCACTTTAAAATGGCTGGCAAGCTTAAAAGTGAAAGTTTTGTGGTGCTGAGAAGAAAAAGAGACACCCATTTTAGATTTTCTATGTATTATTTAAGCATTTTTGACTTACGACCTGGATTTGGGTCCCTAACCCCGTCGTAAGTAGGGGAGGAGCTGTATATGTCATTAGTATAGTGTATGGCCAGAGGTAAAGTACTGTACAAGGGGAAGAATGTGGGTATACATATGATGAAAGGGATATAATGGCCGAGTTGTTAATGGCAATGTACTAAAACAGGTGGTATGAAGTAAATTTTGCATAAACCGTCCTAATGTCCAATTACTGTGTTTATGGGACCTAAGTTCAAACAGAGATAAAAATCAAAGGATATATATATATGAAATTTTATGAGGAGAAGATAAAACATTATTGAATCAAAATAATGAAGCCAACAATAGGTAAAATTATTCAGTTCACAAAACGAAAGTATGCAGCAAACCTTTCATTTCCCTCCATTCGGTTATTATGATGTGGTCCACGAATGTTTGGTATCCTAGAGTTGGAAGAGAGTAAAAATTTAATGACTCGGAAAGAACATCATGTGTTTTTCTTGTAAATATGTGATTACTCTGAAGGTTAAAAGCTTGTACAATGTACAGTACTAGCAAGTCAGTCATAAACAGGAGGAAATAATGTTACTATATGTACTGTACATCTCCCTCAGTGAGCTGAACAATGTAGTACCAGGGTGACATGAAGCAGGGTTAGTGTGAAGGATAACTCACTAACACATGCATGCATGTACAATGAAAGACAAAAGTCATGTCATGAAATTTGGTGAAAACATATGCCAAAGGACTAAACTTTTGGTGCACTCTGCCATGTGGATAGGGGCTCTCACAATGTCTCACGAGTTATATTTAATCTTCGGACAAAACCGCGACACGACTTTTGTCTTTGATTGTACATATGCACATCTACAGGTACTGCAAATATATCATATGTGCTAATAACCCCTGTCAAAATTTGCATGGCAATTTGGACGAGTTCTAGTCTATGGTACATCATTTCACTACTCCAAGCACTGGGGAGGCATCCGGCAGTGGATTGATATGGCTGTAAAATATATAGTGGTTCTCATGTATGAAGTAAATGGTGATAAGAATGAAAACAAACACTATAGAGGTGTATTATATGGTAGGGGAAGAACAGTGTGGATTCAAAAAAAGGAATAGATGTGAACAAGTATTTGCACTGAGAAAATTAAGTGAAAACTAGCTGCAGCAGGGGAGGACTTGATTAGGTTAAGTTGACAACTCCATTTAAAGGATGTTTAAAACAAGTTTACATTGTTATATAAATATTCCTGACAAATGGCTTGAGTTTTAGAAAGACTTTTGTGTATAACCTCAGATAATGGGTGTGAGTTGCCCTATTGCTTGGAGTTCCTGTCTCTGTCCTTCCATCAATAATGGATACCTTAAGTACACAAGTACAGTGTCATTTATACATGTGGAATTGATCCTGAAATCCCATTTTAAAATGGGCATGGATTGGGTTACTCTGATCCCTCCTTCCTCCCTTGGAAAACCAAGGAGGATAAAGATATCATGTGAGTACAAGGTATCATACATCTTCAAGGCCCTACAGCCAGCAGTGGCCCACAACACTCAACCATCTTGGCTTCATGCCACCATAAACCATGATCTTCAAAGTATTTATAAGCCAAAATTACATATTTGCAGTGAATATTATGTTATTTGTGGCATTTTCTTGCAATACTCTGGAGCATAAGGTGTTAAAATCAGTCAAACTCATTCATAAATATGTCTCAATGTGGATTTATGAACCAATCCAAGTGTTGCCCAAGTATGTTTATCTTGGGACTCTAGTACAGTATCTTGTGATTACTAAGCTAAGCTTACATGTACTCCTAGGTGTTGTACACCAGATATGACTAATGTGCAGATTATTGTTCTTAATCTTTCTTCTTTTTAAGAAATATCAAATACATTTTCCTTCCAATTATCAGCCTGATATTTAATCACCTGTCATGGGGGCCAACAGCTTAAGGCACAAGGTGATGTGAAAGGTATAAAAGCAGTCGGTTATGCGGCACGTGAAAGAAATATTCACGTGGCAAATTCACGAAATATTACTGCAGTAACACAAAGATGATTATTCAGTAATAATATGTATACAATGGAAATTATATGATTACCTGGGATCTCGTGGCTCAGGTCTTCTGGGTACAGCTGGTCGAGCGTGAGGAGCCTCAGGTGGTCGTCCTCCCCTTATGGGTGGTGGAACTTGTCTCATGCCTGCCTTGTCACTTGCTCGAGTACCTTGGGAGATGGGGAAAAGTTATGAGTAGGATTTTTCTACTTAACATGAGCTGTAACTACTAAGACAGAGGCATGTAACACCTCTGTATGACTCAGTTCAGTAACTTTTAACTGAAAAATAACTGCTAATTCTTGGAGTTTAAATATACTGGCCTTGTCCTACAGTATGTGTAATACATCACTAATGCATCCTATAATTTATTACTGGAGCCTGACACAGAGCAGCAGCAAATGATCAGAACTTAATTAAACTGAGGAAGGAAAAGCAGGAAGTTATCCATATCAACTGAATAAGCATAAAAGAGGAGTCATCTACACTATCACTAACTCAAAACTGGGGCTGCAGATCACACATTCCCTGTTTTGCATACTGACCATTAAGGCTAACTACCCAAAATTAGCGAAGTGAAAAGTTTAACCAAAACTACAAAATTATACATCACATATTATAACCTGTTGTGAACACAGGTAAATTAATGTAAAAAAATTTTCACCGAGTGCCAGGATTCGAACACGGACAACCAAGGTTGACAATCACGCAGCCATCCACTGGACCATGATGGGCTAAAAGCTACCCATCCTTAGCTACTCACTTGCAGCTCAAGGTCCCATGTCCAACACTGTGGGTCTGATGGGTTAGGGCAGCCCCCACACATGGGTCCCAGAGCTTTTAATAAAATTCCCAAGAGGTCTGGGTTTGAATCTCGGCACTCACAAGTGAAAATGTTTTACATTATACATCACAGTGGTTTACTTTGGTATGATGTTGTAATACTTATCAATTCATCTATAAGCAAAGTTTTGTGTTGGTGTGGTTAATATTAACAATGAAAAGTGAAGTCATCAGTATGAACAGATGGAGGACAAGTATAACCACTCTCACAGTCATGGTGGAGAATATTAATAGGCAACACTGTAATATATCACCTGGAGCCAAGCGATGGTTAGGCCGCTGCTGTTGGCCAGGGGGCGGTGAATGCGATGATGATCGTGACCGACTACTTCTACTGGCAATACTGGTCCTACTGGACTTGCTGCCACTCCTACTTCTACTATGACTGCTGTATGATGATGACCGGGAAGATCTGAAAAAATAAAGACAAGTTACAGTACAGGGAGTAGAAATATTAATTTAAGTATGACCTTCATAGGCTCAACATATTGCTTAGCTCATCATTTTGCAAACTCATACATTTGGTAAAATCACTTTACATCTCTTGCTGACATCCTAATAATCCCGAGACTTCTAACACACAAAGCATGACATTCGGATCATAGATGACATAGATGTGTTTCCAATGTGCATAGCCCAAAAGAAAATATTTTCTGGTTTTTTTACCACCCTCAAGATTTTCATGTCCATAGTTGCTAATCCTTATGATGTTTGAAACAAATTTACGAATTTTACAATTCAAAACAAGTTCTTAATAATTGAAACTTTAATTAAATTCAACCTAACAGTCCAAAATTTTACTAATGCTGTGACTTTTATGTGTTATTCTAAGTAAGGTGTCCAGTTCCAGACCAGCCTCCAGGTAGTGTAGTGGTGTGTATAAAATCTCTTCCTTGGTCTACACTTTTAACTGCTCTTTATGCTGATATATTTGCAATGTCTGCATTTTTATCATTCCTTCACTAGTTATAATAAGATTCTTCCTTCCTCCCTTTCAAATCTAGCTCTGTCATCTTGAGTGTCTTGGACTCGTAAGAGAAAAGGATGTACATGTTCTAGACTCAGTTGATGTCATTCAACAAAAAGACAATTCATACCCGAATGTCAGTGTTGTCTTAACTGACTCCTGGGAGCTCATTTTCATGGTGATTGATGAATTCCAAAATGAGTCAATGAAAATATCTTTCTGAAAACTATCACACCATAGACAACCCTGATTATTTCTGACAAACCTCTCTTCAACATATACTAGTCCCCACTTATATCTGAATCACATCCCACCTTGATGATGAATGTGATGATGAGCCTGTCGAGTAACTTCTTGTGCGGGAAGTCTTTTTCTTTCTGGAAGAACGAGGTGGGGTTTTCCGTCGAGCCCAGGGGTCTGCCCAAGCTTCTGCTTCACCTCGTGTGCCGCCTCCTGTTGAAACGACCTCTGTGTACCGATCGTCTTGCCACACACGGCCACGCACATATCTGAAAATTACAGCACATTAACTGTTATTTTGTTAAGAAATGAAGCAGGAGGCTTTTGAATACTGTAAAAGATTACTCTTCAGTGACTCTGCAGCCTGAGCTGCTCATAATGGATGAGACACTGCACATTTTCACTGCAAAATGGAGAAGTCTGGTGCACTTTAAGGTTAACTTTATATGATTTTCTTGAGACGAAAATTAAAATTTTGAATTGCCTCGTGTAAACATCTCACCATATCAAACTATGAAAAGAAAGTAATACTGTACAGTGGAGTCTCGATAATTGAAAAATACAAATTCGCGGGCACTGTACCTCTATTACTACCTTTTTCTTTAAATTTTGGTCAAATATTCATAAATTGCAACCGAGCGCTGAATGCTGCAGTGTTTATTTACATGGAAAACCATAAAAGTTGTGGAAATATCATTTCATTGCGTTGGTTTGACTTCAAAGTAAATAATACTCATAAATCTTCCCATTAGCCAGAATAATTGGTGGAGATATAATTAAAATTACTTTTGAAAATGTCCTCTGCACACAGTAGTAGTGATACAATGTCACTCTTGGCTTGTATGGTAAAACAAGAATGTCTACCAAATCAGCATGCAAGAAACAGTGAATACTGTACATGTAAAAGGGAACAATAAGACAAACATTACACAAGCCATCAGTTGAGTGCGAGCAAATTAAATATTCTTGGTGCAAGTTCTTACCTTTCCTCACCACCTGATGTTGTTCTTGGTCTCCGCTGAACTCTTTCCGACACTTCACGCTCAAATTTCTCCCGGCGTGACCTCTCCTGACCCCCACCACGCATATTATACCTTGGATCGACATGGTAACGAACTTCAAAGTTTTCAAAGTGTCCTGCAAAGGTCATTTATGTATCTGAGTCTGATAAAAGATTTTTTAAGTGACACAATACATTGAACTGACATTGAGTTTTACTCTGATGTAAGTTGTAAAAAAAAATGAAACCACAGAATAACAAACAAAAATCCAACAATACTGTAATAATTCAAAAACTGTACTGCAGTGAACTTACTAAACAGTATTTAAGCAAACTATGGCATACTGTACACACAAAGTACTCTCACATATAATAATACACGCCAGCTTACCACCACGGAAATGTCTTATAGCTTGCTTCTCATATGGATCCAGATACTGATCAATGATCTCATCTGGCTGTTTATAAACCGGTGATGCTGGACGAGTGTAGTAGTCATTCTCACGGTCTAGTTCTGCTTGACCCAAGCTGAGGTTGAAGCGCTTCTCTTCAAAGTCTGCATCTGTCTCTTTACGCTTATTTGCCCTTTTCATCATCTAAAAACCAAGGAAAGAAAACAACAAAATATTTGCAAAAAGTTTGTCATTCAGTACATTATATGATGAAGAAACCCTGCCAAGACTTAAGTGGGTTACATTCATGTACAAATTTTTTACCAAATCTAACCTTATCTGTTCACGTTACCACATTACTGTACCAAGATGAGGTTGGGAGTATTATATAGCAGATGACAGAACAAGTGAGGCCCATCACAGAGTGTAACTACCAAAGGGAAGCAATCAAAGAAAACAATCATAAAAATGAGGAAGGGCAGCCCATTACTTTCTGGCCTTAATACTTCAATGAGCAACTGAGGCCAACCAGTCTCCTTCCTTTAAATAACTGTCAATACCTAATACATGTTTATAAAACAAATTACTAGCTGGCTTGAAGGAATAAAAGCACAAACCTCCTTGGCATAACGAAGTCCACGTTCCCATGCAGATTCAAAAGGTGAAGGCTCTGGAATGAAGCGACGCACTTCTCGAGGCTATCGGGGAGAAGAAATTTTAATTATATGTTCCACCGACAGTTACGGCTGCAACAGTAACATAACACCGCCCAAAAATTTCCCAACAAAACAATGTACGTAGTCTGATCTACCATAAAAATTCAGTCTTAAATTTAAACACAAAAAAGCTAATGTAATCTCTTCTCACTGACATACCCTTGTGATTTACCAACTCATTCACCGACTCAACCTATCTCTTAATTAAAACTTCCTAAAATATAAAATAAAGGACTTCTAAACTTCTAGTTTATAACCAAATATAGATTGAGTAACTCCTGTAAAATCAACAACAAGTCTGCAGCCTGATAACCCAGGGTTCCCATGATCCCTGACATGAGTGATTAGGACTATACTGTACCCCAAAAACACAAGAAAATGGTTGTAACTTTCTTCACAAAACTATAATCCCCAAAGGCAGTATTTGGAGGTGCCTGTTGCTTGAGAGCAATATGTTGGGTAAACAGGATGCTGATAAGAAGAAATAAAAAGATGTAGCCAAAAAATTAGTGTAGAGGAAGAAACAGTCTTGGTGTGCTCAAGTAGTACGAACATATTAGGAGAATAAGAAGTGACATGGATAAGAAGAGTGTACAAGTCAGAGGTTGATGGAAGGAGAAAGATGGGAAGGCCAAGGAAATGAAAGGACAGGGTAAATAATAAACTTGTACAGAGGGGAATGGACGTCCAAGAAGAACCAGTGTGCATGAATCAGCAGTGAGCACGGCATCAAGTGATTTTTTAAGGAGGGATGTGCTGACTGTTAATCCTGGCTTGTGTGAAGCAACAGGGATGAACCAAGTTTGACCCTACAGCTTTACTGTATTTCTTACCCTTCCCCTCTCACTGTCCTCCTCTTTATCAGTTGTAGCTTGGGGTTTGGATGGAGCAAACATGTTGTAATTCCCTTTGTCAGACACTCCTGGATGCAGAAACCTGCAATTGGTGCCCCAAGTACACTGGCCTTTGTTGAAAAACCTGTAAAAAATTATATTAATTACAAACTTATACTCTTGAGTGGGACATTTGGGAAAGAAGGAAGATCTGAGTCACAAAATCCCACTTTATAGGGATGAAATGGCTCACTTGTGAGATACACAGTTGCTTGGCACCTCCAGAATGAGCCTTCCATTACCCAGGAACAATGCAATGCCTAGCAGCAGGGGGGGAGGGGGTGGCTAAACACACAGTGTTTGCTGGAACTTAATGTACAGGTAGTTCTGCTATAACGCGATAATTGTGTTCTTGTAAAATATCGTGTTATAGAAAATCGCTAGAAATAACAGGGCTTATGGAGAAAATAGGGTTAGGTGCAGATTACTCGAAATCGAAAAAATTTAGTAGTTAGCCTAACACAAAGGATAGCACAGTCTAAATAAATGTTACATTCATATCTAATAATGAAATCATACAGTAAATTTAACACTTTACCTTGAAAAAATATGAATGTAACTTGATGGGGGAGAAGGGTGATTTTGAGGTTGATAACATCAAGCTTCTCTTCAAGTGTTATATCCTTTCTTTTACGATAATCACCGGGAATTCTATCATCAGAATGCTTTTTGGAGATATTCTTCTTTACCATATTCACAGTTAATACCACAAAATTGGAGAAATAGTAAGCAAAAATCGCGTTATAGCAAACAAGCGATCGCGTTATACAAATATTGTTCCGAATTCATAAATCGCGTTAGAGCAAATTCGCGTTATCAAAACACGCGTTATAGCAGAACTCACTGTACCTTGATTCACTGTGCAAGTGTGAATTTTTTAGTTATCCTGCTCATTGTCTGGTGAGGGATATCAACCATCCTGTGATAGATCAATATTAATGTATGAACACATATAATGAAAATACTGAGAAGTTGTAAACAAATCATCATCTAATTGTCAGTTAAATAGTATTATGAGATCTCTTCACTTTAAACAAAATATGAGCAACCATAAATTAGAATTAAGTAACAAAAATGTTATAGGCATACAGCATACCAGGCTTGTAATTCCTGTGTGTTAGTTTCTGATAGCTCCTCAGGCCAACTTACCTACACACAGTTTTGGGTTCTTGCCGTAACAAAGAATCATCCTCATCTTCATCACTCAGCTCCCCATCTTCACGATTTTCTGGATCACATTTTTTCTTTCGTTTATCTCCCTCCTCACCTGGAAAACCAAAAATAAGGATCAAGAACCGAGCTGTTATGTGAGGAGGGAAAAGAGAGATAGAGAAATCATAAGTGAAAAAATAATAATAAAAAAGCAATTATGTTATGCTTTAAACAAAAAAAATGATGACTAGCAAAACCTATAACTTTTTTGGGTTAACACATCCAACTTGCAACATAAACACAACCCTTACACCATACCTAACTGACCATCCTACCCATCCATGTATTCCCAAACACTCTCACCTTACTCCACACACACCCTTCTCCCAACCCCAATACACATCCTTTCCTAAACCTACACATCCCTCCCAATTCCCACAAACCCCTCTCTCCATTCAAAAACTCTTTTCCCACTCTCATAAAGCCCTTGTTTTTTTCACTCACTCATTTTTCTCACACACCAATCAGCACATTTCCACACATCCAACACTGTATCTTACTAGTGTCCCTTTCAGATGTCTTTTTCTCTATATTTCTAGGGAGAATTCCTCACCAATGTAAAGTAAATCCACTTCTGATCTAAGCTTGTCAGAAAGGATCCAATCACAACCACAAAAAAAATAACCAATCTCTGAAACTAAAGAAAGTGTGCATCGAATTTGATGGCCTAACGTCCTGCCAAGGTGGTGGGATAAATTACTGAATGCTAAGAAACATGCATCAGATTTAATTAATCTTTACCTTGACAAGAAATACATTTTCTTGAATATCAACTACTTATATCTATGTTTTTAATAAACAAATTATAGTAGCATTTAACAAATTATATGAATTATGTCATTTTTTCCCCCAAAAATTTACTTGAATACAGTATACAGTATACTGAACTTCACAACACATACGTCAACAAATACCGGAGACAAACTACTGTACACACAATCCTGTAAATATATTAACAAGTACATTCAAGAGGCCAACTGAGCACATACCTTCTTCTCCTTCCTCCCCCTCTTCTTCACCACTTTCCCTTTCTGCTTCAAAATCTAATTCATCTCTTATACCCAGACCTTCATCACTCCGACGCTTTGATGGTGGTTTACCACGCCCTTCATTAACTTTCTCCCTCACATCTTTTCTCTTGTCTTGAGGTCCTTCTTCTTCACCAGACTTTCTTGGAGTTGGTTCATCATCCTCTTCAAGTTCACCATTCAGCTGCATTAGTGAATTAAAGAGTCAAGTCAGATATAATGTAAATTAGCAAGACAAATCATATGTACATGGGTCCATACATGAGGTGTGAAGGTAGTAGAGAATGAGGAGTTGAGATGTGTTATTTGTGAGGCCATGATGTATGGAGGGTATTCTCAATGAGTGACCCTGTAGTGAGTGTTATCAGTATGTGACCTTGTTAAGAGTGTTCTTGTTAAGTACGAACTAATCATACAAATATTTAAGTATGAATTTGAACTTTCCTATAAAAACACAAAGTACACACAACACCACAACAAACACTGAAACGTCATTCACACAAAACTTGGGTCACGCAAGTTTGACCTACAACTGTGGCTTTGGCCTTCATCATTATGTCATTGAGCTGTGACAAAAAAATTTAAAAATTCACTGTTCTCAGCCAGTACTCCAGGTGTGTACTTTCAGAGACTGAAATGTTTACTTATTTTTGCAAAACAATTCATTATCACTGTAAAAAGTGAAAGATAAGGATAAATATATAAGGACATAGGAAGATATAAAGAGACACCTTACTGAACAGTATTTTTAAATTTCTATGATAAAAGCACTTTGTCTGCTTCATTCATATAGTGTACAGTACTGGCCAAAACCAATAAGCAGACAGCATGTGGTTGGTGAGCTCTAGTTGGTCTTTAAATACTTGGAACAGATAACAGAGATAAGCTGACATTTAAATATAGAAAAGAGGATACATATTAAGTGGTTTCAAAATTTAATTTTCAAAGCTGTAAATTTTTGACAAATTTGCTTAATTTTTTGGAATACCTTGAAACATCAGGAAATTTGTGTGAAATCTGGTAAATTACAAAATAATTATGATTTTTTAGCCATATACTGTACAGTACTGTATATATACAGTATATCCTTTAAACACTATAAAATTTTATCACTCACCGTTGAATCCCCTTCTGATATTTCTGACAGCCTGTCTGCTTGACCATTCTCTTCTCCTTCCTCTCTTGGTTCTGCCAGAGATCTAGGATTAAATGGAATGGAGTTCTGGGGGCTGGCAGGACCTCTAGGACTGGCTGGTATTTCTGGGCTTCTAGGATCTCTTGGGATCAATGGTCCATCAGGACTTCTGGGATCTCTTGGGCTCAATGGTTCATTAGAACCTCTTGGATCTCTTGGGCTCAATGGTTCATAAGGACTTCTTGGGTCTTGTGGGCTCAATGGTCTGCCTGGACTTCTAGGATCACTGGGACTCAATGGCCCTATGGGACTTCTTGGGTCATGTGGACTTAATGGCTCATCAGGGCTTCTTGGATCTCTTGGGCTTAGTGGTCCTTCAGGGCTTCTGATATCTCTTGGGCTCAATGATCTGCTTGGGCTTCTGGGATCTCTCAGGCTCAATGGTCCATCAGGGCTTTGAGGATCTCTTGGGCTCCTTGGACCATCAGGACTTCTAGGATGTCTCTGACTGTAAGAGCCATAATGACCATTAGAATTTTCTGGACTCCTGGGACCACTGTGACCTCGAGGATCTCGGGGACTTAAAAGGTCATTGGGACTTCTGGCATATCTTGGACTTAATGGGCCATCAGGGCTTCTGGGATATCTAGGACTCAGTGGGCCATCAGGGCTTCTGGGATTTCTAGGGCTCATCGGACCATCTGGACTCGCAGGAGTTCTAGAACTCAAGGAATCGTAAGGACTTCTAGTATTATCTGGGCTCAAAGGTCCCTCTAGACTACCTGGGTTCATGTGACTTGCTGGGCTACCCTGACTCTGAGGACTTGCAGGACTATCTGGGCTCATAGGGCCTGCAGGGCTCATAGGTCCATCAGGGCTCATGGGACCATCCGGGCTCATGGGACCATCAGGGCTCATGGGGCCATCAGGGCTCATAGGACCCTCTGGGCTAGCTGGATCTTGTGAGTACATAAAACCTTGGGGGCTTCTTGGATTTCCTCTGTGCACAAAACCCTCTGGGCTCATAGGACCATCTGAACTCAGCGGAGGTTGAGGGGACATCGGGCATGAACTAGCTGTGTTGTCAGGACTCATGGGGTCATCTGGGGTGCCAGGGTCATGAGGTGGCGGGGACATTGGTTCCTCCCATTCTTCACCTGGACTCTGCGGCTCAGAACCATCCATACTGCTCATCTCTGTAAACAAACAAAATGGAAATAAAGATAAACACATTACATATGAACAATTCAATCCTTCGTCTAGTACATTCATATTGTAGATGTGATTTAACTAAAATCATCCTAGGAAATGTAGGTAATTAAAGGTATATCTTGTCCTGAGAAGTAAACAAAAAATACCAACCTTTATTACGGAATTAGAATTTTTACCCCATTTATTCTTCCACTCTAAATGTTTATGTTGTCTACCAATTTTCCCAGATTTTGTATCTTTCCGGGACCACAGCTTTTAATTTCATTCATCCACCCTGAACACAAAAGTATAATATCTGTACATAAAATAACAGAGAAAATGGATCACACAGGCATCATTTACAGTATGGGAACTCAACTCTGAACTGTATGATATGGTTTATTCATGTCTGTACTTCCATCTAAAATTTTACTGTATTCTTTTCACTGATACATGATAGAAAAATCCACAATGGAAAAATAGGCACAATGGTAAAGTAATATTTGTTTTTAGCTAATTAATGACCCCTTTTCATAGATCTCCGAAGATTATCAAATCCTACTCGTGTATTCCTGGTTACCTACTCGTTTTAATTCACTTCTCACACCTACCATCACAACTATTTCTATGGACCAATTACACAAAATTTTCCACCAGTTTAAGTTACCTGAGTAATACTGTACAGTACTGTACTCTATGATGGTTACTCGCCTTAACCACCAACTTGAGGAAAATATTCTATTGGAAATATATTATTTCTTATCTCTTCAAAAGCCCCAAAAGTGAGTAATACATTCTACACCAAACATTACTGCACAAAGCACACTAGATGGAGCATCCATTATTTATAGCCAAGATGCTTCTAAAAAAATTACCAGCTACTGCTACATTATGACTTACCAGTGATAAAATGAACCAACTTAACTTCTATCCTATTCTTAATTTAGTTGGGTTAATTAAATTAAGTTAAGCTAGTTCTTTTTTTGCCCAATACTGTAAACCATATACTGTACAGTAACAGCCTAGCAGGTAAGTTATAGCACACGGCTGTGCTTATGTTTGGGACAGAAAAGGCTGTAAAAAGAAATACAGATACTCCCAGGGTTACAGATGGATTCCATTCCTGAAGGTTATCTTTAAACCAAAAGTGATCCTTCCTTAGGTAATTAGTGAACACACATAGTAGTTATACACATAATGTACTGTATACAATTACTACAGTATACCTACATGATACAATACTTTTTTTATCAATTAAAAGTAGCAATAGAAACATAGGAAAGAAAGATAATTACTGTACACAAATACAATTACGATAAGTACAGTAGCTACAAAACTAGTGTACAAATATTAATTCCATTTACCTTAAATCATGGTGCTCATTTGCTCATCCATACTGTAAGTAAGTTTTCTATTTCATAAATAACACATGGTCACGGTTTCATTATCACATTAAATTTTAAAAAGCTAGACCCACCCTCTCACATGTTCCTCTATACGAGCTCTGTCCTTCACAAGCATGTGTATGATTGAGGTAGCAAGACTGAGTTTATGTGAGTGTGTGGTGGTATTTTTCCTCCTTCAAACTGCTTAATTACTTTAATTTTCTGTTCTAGATCTATTACTCTCATGTGGGCACTTTCCAGTCATTTTGAAACACATTTAAGGGTGATTTACGAAAGAAAATTTGGAGATGATGCACACTGTAGTGTGTAGTGATCTAACAAGGTGACCAAGCACAAAATGACACCTTATTGGACACCTCACCCAGCCACCTTACATCTACTCTGTGGGTCAATTCTGTACTACTTGACATTTGTAACAATGGATACTCATCAGCAACCCGAAAGTGGACTTAGGGGAGAGTATCTGCAAAAGTCAGAAATCTGTAACCCAAGTCATCCATAATCTATGAAAAATTTATTCATTCCCGTTTTTTTTACTTTTTATAAGGTAAGAAAGCATTATTTTCTCTAGTAAGTGTCCACAAGTTGCTGGTTAAGGCATAAAACCTTCATAAAGCACTACTGTACTGTTGCTTGTTGCCCATCTTAGTTATTCCTTCAAGATTTATTTCTAATTAAAAAAAATTAATAATTTTAACAGCATTAACTCTAAGCCCATATTCTTCACCTTTTCCATCTACTGTGTTAACCAGTTTGGAATGACTCTTCACTACATCCTCTTCCGCTAATCTGTAACCACTGAGGCAGTTACAGGGTACCAGTAACTGGAAAGTTATACAGTAAAGGTATATACAGCTGCTCCTCGACTTACGACGGGGTTAGGGACCCAAATCCAGGTCGTAAGTCAAATTGGTTGTAAGTCGAAAATGCTTAAATAATACATAGAAAATCTAAAATGGGTGTCTCTTTTTCTTCTCAGCACCACAAAACGAAAATTTTGTCAGTACACAGCGCAGTCACTAACGTCGGGACTCGAAAATACGTAATTTTAAATTTTTTTGGGTACGACTGGGGCGGTCGTATGTCCGGGTGGTCGTAAGTCGAGTAGGTCGTAAGTCAAGGAGTAGCTGTATAAATGTTGCCTCTAGGCTGCACACTTGCATGGCCATCCATAGAGTACCAAGGGGTTCGGGTCATCTCGCACCCAAGATAAATCGTACCCAAAAAGGTCAACTTGTACCCAAGACAACTCGTACTCAAGATAACTCGTACCCAACTCACGAGATAATTTGTACCCAAGATTACTTACACCCAATTCAAAAGATAATCCATACCTATTAGTATAGATACCATGCATTTTAGCTTTATCTATGATAAAAAAAAAAAGATCATGTAAATCTTGTAGGAAAGTGCAGTGAAATAGGGAAATGTAATGCAGTGATCTAAAATGGTTGCATCTCATTACATAAGTTATGTTATTCTGTCACACAAGCATTGCACTACAACTGTATATTTTCAGCCTTCTGGCTGCCAAGCTCTTTCAATAAACCGTTAATCATTATTATTATTATTATAAGTACAGTCAAAGACAAAAGTCGTGTCGTGGAATTTGGTGAAAAAATATGCAGGGCTAAAACTTTTGGTGCGCTCTGCCTTGTGGTAGGGCTCTCATAATGTTTCATGAGTTATGTTTAATCTTCGGACAAAACCGCGACACGACTTTTGTCTTTGACTGTACATATTTCACACTACTGTATGTGGTTTAGAATAACTTTAGTGTAATTTACAGATTTCAGGCTCATAGATTTGGCATTTTCAATTTATAAACTGGACGATGTAAACGTTTAAAATGGTCTAAGTCAACAAAATATAGACCTGCATAAAAACAGATTGATTTTCCAGCTCCAGCTTTTTGTAAACAAATCAGTTAGTATAAAGCATATAATTCGGGGCTCCTCTCTGGTACTTCTTCTGGTATAACGAACTTGTTCTATGGAGTGGCTGACATCGTGACATCATAAGGAATTTCTTCTTCTGACATGTCAACGTCAAGAATGAAATACACTAGTAATAAGGATACAGTTTTATAAAAGAACGAAGAGTGAGAATACTGGCCAACATTTATACAATTAGTTATGCTATTGTATGTTAATGATATTCTGGATAGATTTGTTTAAAAAGTCACAACCACACGGAAACAAGACCAGTATACTGTAAGTAACGTAACGACTTGATTATGTGTCACCAATATGAACTGTCTAGTAAATTGGGTATGAGTTATCTCGTAATTGGGTACGTGTTGACATGTTCTGATGGGTATGATTTGCTTGGGTATGAGTTGTCCAGCACCCAGTACCAAGCACCTAACTTTTCCAGCCACACATAAACATTTTAAGCAGTAGACATTGTTAATGATCCCTTGTTTTTATATCCTTTCTATTTAAAATTTTCTTCCATATCTATGGTATATAACTTTAAAATAAACATACAGGTAGTACCATATAATATACTGTAGTTTTTGTTTCTACTATTGGTGCACATCTGCACATTGCTTTGATGCTGGTTCACAAAACAAAATTCAGTCTGCACTGTGATAAAATAATAATTAAAGGAACATTGTTCATTAGTGGGATGGGGTGCAAAGCACAGGGAGAATGTGAAGTTTAACCCCTTGTGTATGGGATTCCCTGTGCTGAATAAAAATTCAGGCATTGGCCAAATAATTAAAGTCTTGTTTGTCCATCATCTTCCCATTATAAATGTCAAAATTTCTATCCTACAAAAGGCACGGGATATAGGTACAGCAGCCATATGCAAAACCTTGATGTCTATTGGCATGGCAGCCTAATGCACATGCATGGTGGGCAGAGTATAATTGCAGTAAGGTGGTCTTTTTTCTGACTAATCTAACTTAAACTAACATAACCAAACCAAATGTAATGTAACCTAACGTAACCAAACCTACCCTATAACCTAACCATTAACACAGACCGTTAATACAGCTGCTGTACTTATATCCAGTGTGATTTTTGGCATACAGCTGTGGTACCTGTATCCACTATGTTTTATGTTTCTCGAGGTAAGAGAGTTTTTACCTTCTTTGGAGAAAGTTCATCTGGTAGCTGCTAAAGCCAGACCACTCTCTTCAAGCCTTACCATCAATTTTCTTTTGTCAATTCACCGAAGTACCAAAGGCATGGAGGCCACAGCCTACTTGCAGTTTCACAAGAATATAATCAGTTGTGGATAAAATAAAGAATGCCTTGCTATGGACTCTAATAAGTTAGAAAATCATTTTGAGATACATATTATTGTTCTAAATTAATAAAGAATCCCATATTGATAAGCTTGAAGTTTACTTGACAATGTGATATACAGTATATCCCAACTTTTTTTTTACTCAAAACGGTGGTTAGATAATTAGTTGCACACCCACTCAATTCCAAAATTGTTTAATTCCTTACTAAGTTTCCCAATAAAGTAATTTTATGTACCCTAATCGAGTGTGTAAAGGAGGCAAGTTCACCCACTGGACATTAGAAAGGCGGCCGCTTTCCTCCCAACTTCAACTTACCTCTCACTCCTCACACCACCCACCTCATACTCATCAATTAGTCCACTCACACCATAAATTTCAACTTCGCTGACAACAATTTACCATTTATCGTAGTTTCCGGGTGAGTGGTTATGGAAGAAAGGTGTTATAACTGTGCGGACATTGGCTGGTGTTCACTGTACCACCGTAAACAAAGTTGGTCTGCCGCACACTCCCAGCGGCCCTCACCAACAGAAGACTTACTAACAGCGCCCTATTGTAAACACTACATGCCTTCTGGAAGATAGATAAATTAATATATGCATACATACATACATGCTCACATATATATTTTTTTCAGTAAGATTGTCATTTAAGTTCACATTAGTTCACTATACAGATCGATAGACAGATACATATATACATAGTGTACAATACATGCTCGTGCATTCATACATACTGTATATACAGTATGTTACTCCCCATTTGTGAAATTGCCCAATTTATCATCTGGACAAATTATAACCCATTTCACGGCGTGAGGGATGTACTGAGAAAAGATGCAGACGGGACACAGCTTCAGGAGTCATTGTTCGTCCTCTGTAAAAGATCTCGATGAGCGAGGGTAGGTAGATAGATCTCTTTACCTTGTACTTTTATCCTCTTCAACACTGATCGGCTCGTTAGCCGCTTGGGCGATCGGTCACGTCGCTGTTACGCACTGTTGGCAAGTACTGGGCATGCACTGGCTCCTGAATGTATCTGAACCTGTTCCAGTGCTTGTCAAGTCTGTGGTCTTGAAAGAGCCCACACTCGGTGCCGTCACAACACTCTCTGGCAAATTGTTTCAAGAGTTCACAACTCTCACTCCGAAAAAGTTACCCATCACAGTTTTCTGGGCTTGCGGCTTCTTCAACCTTAAGCTGTGACCTCTTGTGGGGCGAGCATCCGCCAGCCCCAAGTAAGGGAACTCGACTGAGTAGTGCCCTTTGAAATGCTTATACACCTCAATTAGGTCTCCCCTTGCCCGTTTGTTGTGTAAGCTAGGCATTTTCAAGCGCTCTAATCTCTCAGGGTGGCCCTCCTTTGGACATTTTCAATCAACTGACAGTCCCTAGCATATCTCGGGGACCAGCCGGGGTGACACTACTCCAGACAGGGAAGCATTTCACTATTGAAGATTGTTACGAGGGATGGACCGTCTAGATATCTGAGCGGGCTTCTTATAAGACCTAATAATTTAGTTCTTCTCGCAATGGCCCGAGAACTTCAGCTCATTATCAACATACACACCTAGGTCCTTTTCACATTCAGTCTCAATTAATGCAGTTTCTTCGTCCCGTTGGGACATGTGATACGCCTCCTTATCGTGACATTGAATCTTAGCAGACATTTCTTCGACCATTCTTGAAGCTCACAGAGATCATTCTGCAGCTCTTCCCAGTCTACTTTGTTCTTAATTTCCAGAAATAACTTAGCGTCATCCACAAACATTTGTATGGAGGAATGCAAACAAACTGTCAGTTGGTTGAAAATGTTCAAAGGAAGGCCACCAGACTGGTGCCTGCACTTCGGCAACCCAGCTACCCTGAGAGATTGGGGCACCTGAACTTGCCAAGCTTATACTACGGACGGGCAAGGGGTGACCTAATTGAGGTGTATAAGCATCTCAAGGGGCACTACCTTACTTGGAGCTGGCGGACGCTCGCCCCACAAGGGATCACAGCTCAAGATTGAAGAAGCCGCAAGTCCAGAAAACTGTGAGGGCAAACTTTTTCAGAGTGAGAGTTGTGAACTCTTGGAACAATCTACCAGAAAGTGTTGTGACGGCACCGAGTGTGAGCTCTTTCAAGACAAGACTTGACCAACACTGGAGCAGGTTCAGGTACATTCAGGAGCCGGTGCATGCCCAGTACTTGCCAACAGTGCGTAAGAGACGTGACCGATCGCCCAAGCGGCTAACGAGCCGATCAGTGGTGAAGATGATAAAAGTAAAAAGTAAAGCGGGCCCAATACACTGCCCTGTGGTATCCCGCTTATGACGGATACACATGATGATTTCGTGCCATTAATCACCACACACTGCTTGCGGCCATGGAGAAAGTCTCCGATCCACGGCAGGACATTTCCCTGAATCCAGTACCCTTCCATGGGGTACACTGTCGAAAGCCTTGGCAAAATCTAGATATATATATTGTCGATATTACCACTGTCTCATGTCGGCCCACACCGCTGTCTATGATTGGCTAATTAGGTGATACCCGAGAACGACCAATGTCAATGAGGGTGGTTCACGGCCTGTATGCTTATACAAGTTTTCTAATGTTTGGATTTGTTTTTTTATATCAGTGTTATTTAGTTTTGGTTGTAAAAACATTATGTAAGAGCCATATTCTGTTTTATAGGGTATAAGGTGTAAAACTTTTAATGTATTGTATTAGGATTAGTTCAATTAGTTAGCAACCGAGCCATGTTCGTGTGGTGGTGATGATGGTCACGGGAGAGCAGCGTCAGCCACCGACTGAACCCGGACAGCGCAGAGAACCAGGAACTCCAGGCCAGTATACACACGACGACGTGGGGTACAAAAAGCCGCTGAGTTGTGCGTGAAGTAATTGGAGATATTTGGACATGAAAACTTGCGGTTTTATTGCGTTTACACACCGTTCATTCCTACCACTGATCTATTATCATAGTCGAATAAGATGTCTAGTTATAAGATAAATTTCATCTATTACATTACCGGCGGAAATGTATAATAACGGAGATAGCTTTTCCAAATAAATTTCTATTTTCTTCCATTATTTCCCGCCATTATCGTCTGGCTCTCAGTGTCTCTCGCGTCTCCTTCATAAATCATGACGCGCATGCGTACCCGTACACATCACGCGGCCAATCAAAAGAGTTTTTGCTAATTCAGAGTGTATTTGGCCCAATCAAAAATCGAGTTTTATTTTGGGTCTCATATTTTGAAATTCAAGTTCAGCTCCGACCATGGAGGTCTGCGATGGTTGTCACTTAAAGTATATGGAGCTGATTGCGAGTGTTGGGGAAAAAAAACCGTAGAAACTATAGCATTTTTTCGATCGCATGGTGTTCTTCCAACCTCAGTAAAGTGTACTAAGAGCAAGACGGAATGTAAATATCGCAAAGACCAACATATGTGGCGTTGGGTAAGAATCTCAGAATGCAACGACGAACAAGACCCAGCCCAATAAGGTAAGAAATAGGTGATTCCATCATATGGTGAGAGTCAGTTAAGTTAGGTTAAGTTTGGGTTTTTCTAGTGTTTTTTTTTTTTGTATATTTTAGTCGCTCAGCCACTTTTTTTTCGGAAAACGTCAAACGAAAAAAAATTCGTTAAAAAAAGGCTACTTTCCGCCAAAAATGAAGGTCATACTCGGTCTAAACACACACAAATACACTAGAAAAATAGATTTTTTACTTGCTAAAAGTGAACGGTGTGACAATGCAAATTTACCAAACTTGCTCTGTGAATGTAATAGTGTAATATATGTCATTTTTACACGACGAGTTTCCATAGGCCCTTCCTCTCGGTCTGAAAGTCCCGTGACAACTGACAACCACCCTATTCCAGAATTTGGGTCCAAACATCCAGTACCTTGAGTAATTGTGTTAAGCAGGAGCGCCCTGGCATAAAACCGTGTTGGCAATCCCTTACAAAGTTGTTTCGTAGTAGATGTTCCATCATGGCATCTCTTATAATGCTCTCAAGTACTTTACATACTATGCTGGTCAGGCTCACCGGTCGATAGTTATTCGTGAATTGACGATCGCCCTTCTTGAAGATAGGACCTGCAAACCTTAAAAGATGGGTGTTACTGTTTTATATTCCACTACGTTGAATATTTAAGTAAATTTCACATTATCAGTTCGCTGAAGTACAAGACAGCGGCTGAGGTATTTGTCAATGTTTTGAATTTGAGCGGCCGAGGTTGCACATGAGCTCCACGTGTCTTGCAATCAGGGCTCTGTTGAACGAAGTAATGCAGACTTAAAGACAAAATGTGTCCAGTATAGTTATGGGTGTTCGATTTGTACAGTGGACAATGAACAGCAATAACCATGAAACCATCAAAATGGCACCTAACCAAGCTCTAACACCTAAACATGATCCCCTCTAAAATCAAAGCTGCCAGCTGAATTTCTCACGATAATTGGAGCAGAGACTGAGGAAGGTGAACTTGGACGTCTTTTTGAGGACAAGTTCTGGGTGACAGGGAGCCTCTTCCTGAGATAACCGAAGTGCAGACAGCCGACTACCGTGACTATACTTGAGGATCCTGATGAACCTGAGAATCTGGATGTCAAACACTTCACCACAGGTAAATAAGTTCTTTGCCTTATGTTTGTTAACACAACCAAGATGTGGTGTTTGGCTTGCTGCATGGCTGCATTTCTTAATTGAAAAACAAAAAGTGCAGTAAACATTTTTTTATGACACCGCATACTTATATTTCAACACATTCTAAGTCACTTTTATTCTTGTTTTTTATTCTTGTTATTTTATTCACTTTTATTCTTGTATCTGCACAATATTATTATACAGCAACAGACAGTAGACTTACAATGCCGGTTGCAGAAGCCGTTTCTTATTGTAACAACAGTCGACAACTGCATAGCATAATTATGACGATGAAGAGAACCTGTATCCTGTCAAAAGTGAAAGACAGGAACCACTACAGGTACTTTTACTTTTATCCTAATCCAGCAGGCTGGCAGGATGCTTGCCCGCAGAATAAAATCACTCCGTTCAATTGACGTAGGAAATAATGTTGCAGCGCCAGTGTCGCAGTTTGACCATAGCAAATGAGATCCGCCTAATCTAACTGGAGTTGTGCTTTCTAAGGAAGAGAATGGTGTTAGAAGATAGGTACAAGAAGTGGAATGATTAAAGGCAAACTTGCTCGAAATCAAGTTTGTGCGCTTCGGTGGCCTTAAACCAGATGATGTTCCTCAAGAGCAACTAAGTATTCGGGAAATAGTTAGCACACAGAGAATCTGTGAACAGAAGAAGCCATTGCAGGAGTAACTGCCAAACAAACCGAGTTCAAGTCTAAAAGGTGGCCTTCCTTGCAACGCGAAAACACAGATTAAGAATACTGCATATATTTTTCATACCATTTCTTGTGAATTTTACCAAAAGGTTAATATGTCAAATTCCCGGGATATCCTTAACTCAGAGCATCAATTTTCGCTCCTCCGACGCGCTTGCAAATGCGGGGATGAAATTATAT